TTTTACTATTTTCAACATTCATTTGCTAAAAGGATTCGGTTCTTTTCCAATATCGGGGGAGCGGTCCGATTATCGGGGGAGCGGAAGGAAAATCGGGGGAGCGAAAGGAAAATCGGGGGAGCAAATTCTTTTCAATATCGGGGGCGGTCCGATTATCGGGGGACTTTTATTTTAACTGCAACGTTTTTTTTTAAACTTTAACGACGATGCGCTTCTCCGATATTTGTGCGTTCAAGGAATCGACGGCAATCGATTATTTCGTCACCAAAGGAGTCATCCAGTCGTGGCTCCCCCGATAATCGGACCGCTCCCCCGATATTGGAAAAGAACCAATTATACTATTAATGAATAAATTTTTAGGTAGCCATTTGTTCGTTCGGGATTGTGGAGCGTTCGGCAAAAAGAGAAGGCGGCCGATAGGGAAGGTAGAGGTATGTTTGGTGTTAGATATTTAAGTCACTTTTGTGATCTAATATAAAGGTTGTGAGAATAACGGGTAATTCGCGGATTTTATGGCAGTACTTTGGATAATATAGGACATATGTAGCGCTGCCAAAAAATTTTAAAAAAAACGTTGCAGTTAAAATAAAGTCCCAGAAATGCAATTTTCGGGGGGCAAAATTTGCTCCCCGATTTTCCTTTCGCCCCCGATAATCGGACCGCTCCCCGGATATTGGAAAAGAACCAAGGATTCTTTCAGGTTTATGGATTTCATGGACAAGCAAATGTTGATAAGTCGACAAGAAATTCATCGAGAAATGTCCAACGATATACAAAAGGGATTTCTGCGGCCAAAGCGAGACGAGAGATCCACATATTTTTCGGCATTCATGATGTCCTTTCTGCGCACGAGTGGGCGGATGAACTTTTCAACAGGATCGCGACACTAAACACACAGCCCAACGGACTTAAACTTGGTTTAATCAAAATCACGTGTCCGTTCTACAATGGCCTACTCAAAACTTCCACAGCATTGTCAAGGGGGGCCATTACTTTTGATTGGCTGTCAACAAAAAGGAGAGATGTTACTCATTGTTGGACATTTCCATCCATCATTCAAGCAACAGCGGATAGAGAACAAATAATGGGAACATGTAGGTCGTTTTTTCTCATAAGAGAAACTTAGAAAATCCTCGGTGGTACAAGATAGATTTGTGAGAGAATTGTCGCTTGAAAAAGCTGTCGTCCGACAAAAGTTTAGTTAACAAAAGAACACATTTATTGAGCACACTAAACTTCAGACAATTTCAAAATTAATCCTCAATCACGTTGATGATGACGTTTTTTTGCCAATTTTTTTTGCCAAAGACAATTTCAAAATTAATCCTCAATCACGTTGATGATGAACGTTTTTTTGCGGTGATTTATCAAATTAAAATTCAAAAGAGCAATCACTGATTTTCCACATGAAAGTCTTCTTTTGAAAAATGCGCTTCTCGTTTTTTCTGGTTGTTTTGGTTGTTCCAAAGCATCAACTGCATATCTCATATAGCCGAACCAGGGTCTACTGAATTGAATTCTTAATGAATTCAGCAAAAATCTTGCCAGGTCACTGTCATGTGCTAATCTCTCGAAGGAAAAGCCAAAATCAGCTTTTTTTAAAAGCTCTGCAAACTTATTTTCAATTGAGCCTTTTGTTAAATCCGTGTACGTTAGTGGTCCGGTTTCCATGTAAATGAGTTTCATGTGGGCTTCCTTTTCAAAGTTGCATCGAATCAAGTATTGCACTTTTTCATCAAAATCTTTGTTTGTCAAACTTGACCAGAAAAAATTGGGTGATTTCACTTTATGAAAGTTTTCGAATTTTCCCCTTGGATTCAGGGCCATCAAATGCAAAATTTCACAGCCATGAAAAAGGGTATTTTGAAAGAGATCGACAAAGCCAGAGGACTCAAGATGGCTATAGAGTCCAATATAATTTTCAACTTTAAGACGGAGATTTTCGAAAATGACTTTTGCTATTGAGAAATCCCCTTTAAATCGAAAATCCTGAAGGATTGTGATTTTTGGAAATAAATTTGAGTATTTCAAAAGCTTCCTCATTGCTTTCACCAGTGTCATAGAGGCTCTTGGGAAAAAGATTTCCATTTCTTTACAATATCGGATTTGATTCAATAGTTTCCACATGAATTTCACCGCAATTGTCACTGACTTTCCATTGATTGTTACCGTATTATCAAATAGATAAAATGTTGCCTCCTCTTCAGCAATAAGGGTCAAATCAAGGCAAAGTTTCTTCTTTGATGAATCATTGCTTAAAGTTTCCCATGACCGGGTTAAATTAATTCGCATGATTTTGCTCGTAAACAATCCATTCTTCAAAATAAAATATCTAGATTGTTTGTTGAGTTGAAGAAGATTTGATGATGCTGGATAGCCTATTTTTTCGAATATTGAGTTCTTTAGATCAAATGGAAGAGAATCAAAGGAAAATTGATTGGACATTGGGAGAAATTCGCGTTTAAAACACTGAAATGGAAAAATCTTTCGAAAAATGTCTTCTTATCTGAGAAATGTTGAAGCAATTTGCTTGCTGTCAGAGGAGAATCTCCCGATAAGAACAGAGAGTTCCCGACGAGTGTTGCTGACTCGATAAGAAACATTTAAATCGATAAATAACAACTTGTTACCTGACAAGGGAAGGGTATCAATCTAAGATGGGGTAAAAGAGAAAACAGGCAAATATTTGTGTTCTTTTAAGGCATCAGCTGTTTTATTTTTATTAAGAGGGAAATTTGATCCACCGGCAAAATGGGAACCATCTTATGTTTGATTGGCTCTTTTTAAATCAACTTGTGCCATCGTTTAGGTATTGGAATTTCTCACGGGAAAGAGAGAACAAATCTTCGATATGACTCAGTCTTCCAGAATAAAGCAATTGATCCAATAATCTCGTGAGAATTGAAAAAGAAATTGTTGAGAGCTGAGAGGAGGAAAGTTTCTTTTATAATAGGGAAATCGAAAGTTCAATCTTGGGTATATAACTTTTCTTTTAATAATAATAAATAATGTTTTGCCAATCCCATTTTAGATTAGCTGAGGCTGAAGATTGGGCCTTGTGGCTTTTTCTGTCACCCCAATAAAAGAAAAGGGGGCTCACTTTTGCTTTAAGAAACCTTTTAAGCCGGCTGCTTAAAAAATTTCTTTTGATTATCTCGGCCGAGATTGGAATCAGTAGATGCACAAGTTTTTCTTCTCGCGTTTTCGCACCGATTTGTGATTGGATCAAAAAAATCTTCATCCATTGCCTCCCAAATGTTACAGGGTGGGGCAAAATTAACTAATTTCTTTTAAGTATGCGATCAAAAAAGGATCTTCGACCAGCTATCATTACGCTTTAGGAAAGCGAGTAATAAAAATCGCCGACCTTCTGAAGGTCGCAAAGGACTGGGTCGGCCAGTAACTGCCACAACACTTGCAATTTGAAGAAAAGTGAAAGGCATTCAAACGGAATTCAAAGAGCACGAAAAACCCAAGCTTGACAGGTTGACAAAAATCAATACCATAATGGTACATAAAAATGTTAAAAGACGAAATTCTGCCGTGGACCCAAGCAACTTTGACCAACAATCATGGGTTTTTATGCAAGACGGTGCTCCTTCTCATAAGGCCGCAGAGACACAAGATTCGATCGAAAACAAATTTCCTGTTTGGACCACTGTCGACATCAGTCCGCAACGCCCGGGTGAGTGGCCATGAGCGAATTTCCCGGACATAAACCCGTTAGACTATACCATTTGACTCACCTTAAAGACGAAAGCCTGAGCTAAAGCACAAAAAGCACTTGGGTAGCCTAAAGCGCGATTTGATCAAAATTGGGACTCAATTCCCCTTGACTCAAATTTGATCCACCTTCGAAATAGGAACAATCTCATGTTTGATTGACTCTTTTTAAATCAACGTGTGCCATCGCTTAGGCATTGGAATTTCTCACGGGAAAGAGAGAACAAATCTTCGATATGACTCAGTCATCCATAATAAAGCAATTGATCCAATAATCTCGTGAGAATTGAAAACTCCCAAGAAGAAATTGTTGAGAGCTGAAAAGAAGAAAGATTTTTTTATAATAGGGAAACGGAGAGTGCAATCTTCGGGTATTATTTTAGATAAAAACCAATTGGTACCTAGGAAATAACGAATAAAATAAAACGTTTTCACCTATTTGCAGCAAGAGCCGTTGAAATCTGCAACAAAGTAAAGCAATCGGCAACAAAGTAGAGCAAAATTTGCGGAATCGGTGGCTCCTAAAGATAAAAATGCATTCTTTTTAATCAAAAACCCGATATAAAACCTAGAAAACAAAGAACAAAACGCTACCTTCTTGTTTGGCTCCAAATGTGCTCCTTGTCAATGATTCTCAAGCGTAACCCAAACCTAAATAATAATAGTACCTCTAATGGTAGCGCCCCCCCCCGTATAGTCGCGTAGTCGCAAAAATTTTTTACTAAATCACTTTTTCTAAGTGCCCATAATTTCTAAAATAAATATTTGGTATCAAAAAATAGCGTGAATTTAAGCTTTCATACTTAAGCGCACACTGTAGCATAAATGGGTGACGAGAAAAATGCGTTTAAAGTTAGACTACGCGACGCTCCGACCGTCATTATAGGGGGCGCTACTATTAGAGGTATTACGGTAGATCCAACAAAAAGAAAATCAATTTTTAATGTTTAACATTTGGATTTAATAGCGTTTCCATAAATCTTAAAAACTCCATTAGACGACCGTATAGCTTGCGATTTGAGTGTAAATCGAAACTCACGAAATTCTCTATTTAAAAAATTTTCTGCAGTATTTTGTGCTTTAGTCGCGCGTCTTCAATTTTCCCCTACTTAGGAGCTGGTCATTTAAACCTAATTTTGTCGAATCGGATTGGATTGGATTCGAGAGCTTTCTCATTTCCTCTAGCCCTTTTCAATCTTTCTCTTTCTTTTACAAAAAGTTGTACCTATTTCTATCATTTAGGTATCAGCTATTTACTCTGCTTGGGATCATCGAAAATGAATGTTGAAGTAAGGGATTGTTTTAATGTAGAAATTCGTAGAAATGTAGAAAAAGTAAAATAACTTTGGTAAAACAGTCAAAAATACAATATAACCAAGTCGGGTCAAAGTGCTCCCATCCGCCCGAAGCTAATGGGTGCCAAAATTTTTAGACAGTGTAAAAAAAGTCGGTTTTCAAGGCTTGCCCCCCCCCCGCCCCGGAATTTTTTCTCTGGGTACGGGCTTGACTGTTGACATTGAAGCAGTGATCAGAGTTGGATCCGGAACATTGTAGGCTCTTTAAGGTGTAGCTGGGGTGCTTATTAGATGATAGCACAGTAAGTTTAAGACGATGTTTCGAAAAAAAACCTGATATTGATTTCCCGCCCGATACTACTAAAAATACGATGTTCTAGTAAACGTTTTAAGCATTTTATTTTAGGTGAGAAAGGACGTCAATGGAGCCGAGACATGGTGGCCTATGAAAGCGATCGATATCACGAACGAGGGACTTTTGATCATTGGAGATGCTGGCCAAGGAGACATTCAAAAGATACCTTTCTCCGATGTCAGGCTCCCAGCAATTCCAGCTTCAACGCTAGCGTTCACGGTAAGCGTTGCCTAATTCTTACTTTTTAGATTTGTTTAGCGTTGACAATCTTTGGATTTAAGGTCGGCAATGAAATTGAGGCCTTTATTCAAGACAAAATGTGGCGGCGCGTGAAGATCACTGCTTTCGAGGTAAGGTGATTTTTATTAGCTTCATTTACTTTTTCTTTAAGAGCAATTTTTTGATTGTGGATTTGGGCGACGGAAAGACCGACGCTGTAGAATTCAACTCAAAGGTCGTTCGAACAACCGACACTTATTACAAGAAGCTCACCAAGGATTCTTTTTTTCACGAACGATTTAGTAATTATTAAAAATTGATGATTATACTGGTTTATTCCTAGAAATTCCCGAAGAAGTTGTGAATTACTTCAAGAAGATGAATCTCATCGCGAATTTTACTTATGGGAAATTTTTTGCTAAAATAGAGGATGAGCACATGGTTGTCTATGCAACCGAAAAAGATAGAATTGAGCACGCGAAAATGCGGTTAGATGTTTTAATCGAGGTGAGTAGTAATTTCTTTCATAGCTGATTATGATTACTGAAAGTTTAATTCTAGGACGAAAAAGATCGCATGGATCAGCTGCAGAAACAAAAAGTGCGGAAGGCACTTAATAATACCGAAGAAGATGCTTCCACTTACATGAACGAATTTTCGTAAGTTTTGCTCTTCCTTTCTTTATATACTTTGACATTGGTTGACACCAGTAAACGAATTTAAAGTTTTGCAATGGACTGCTAAGAGAATTTCAGTCGTTATAGCCATTTAACGGCTACAGTTTTAGCGAGCCACCATCTCTGAGGAACTTGGCTATTGGGACAGATGGAAGCAATATGAAACAAGCCAAAGAATTTGAGAGTGTCCAGGATATTGAGGTAACATTTTGTCTCGATACACTATATATTTTTTTGTTTTTGATTGGTCGTCGCCTCTTCCAACCATATCGGTCCAACAGGGATTCACAAGGAACGCAGGTAATCTTTAGCTCGAGTACATAGTTCGAATGAGATCGCCTTGTTTTTAAGACCAAGCAAAACTAAAAAAAATACGTATAGAGAACACAAGCTTATAATTACGATTAGATTAATTCAATTCAACTTTAGTTGACGGAAAGTGATAAGCAGTCACCAGTTTTCAAAGTCTATGCGAATGATCCAGAAGCAACTCAAAAAGCTCGCGCTCTTCTTGAAGAAAGAGTCTCCGTTCCAAAAGAACTTGTTGGAAATAGTGTAGACAAGAGTGGAGCTATTCAGGTTTTTAAAAATTTTATTTGCTAATTAACTGCAACAACAACTTCTACATTAAGGATTTTAGATCAAAAACAATGAGCCTATGAAAGGATGGCGACAGAATGCTAATGAATTGCAACGTCGGATGTATCACAGTAGCAATGCTCCAGTGTTTGGTGGAGGTATTATTGGAGTTTTTTATCTTATACCAAATACCGAAAAAATTTAGGCGCTTGGGGGAGAAGGGGTTCTACAAAGGAAGAAATCGTTTCTCCTAACGACAGACTTGGCTTCAATGCTGTGAAACGCGTGGGCTACGATCAATCTGGGAGCCGACAGATCAACGATGAGGTACGCCCCGGTCAACATCGATTTGGTGATCGTGGAGGACATGGTATTCTTGAAGAGTTTTTTATCTTATGCCGAAAAAATTTAGACGCTTGGGGAAGAAGGGGCTCTGCAAAGGAAGAAACGCTCAAGGGAGAAATAGTTCGTCGTGACGACAGATTTGGCTTCAATGTTGCGGGACATGGGGATCACGAGCAATTTGAGATTCGGCAGAACAACGATGAAGCACACCGTAGTCATCAACATCGATTTGGTGATCGTAGAGGACATGGTAAGCCTAATGTCATTAAATTTTCGGTACATAAAAGTTATTTTATATTTTACGGATACAATTTTTTATAGGATATGGATATCGTAGAAACGACGAATTCCGTCAAAGTGGACGCGGCGGATTTCGTAATGACCGAGGCAATCAATTTTGTTAAGATTCTGAATTTACCACTACATTCTTTTCCGCGATTCTCTAGACTCCACGATTCCGGTTTATTGTTTTCTTTCCTCTTTGTTTATCGTTTTTTTTGTTACGACTCTTTCAAACATTTGTCATCGTATTCTTCTTCCGGTCACTGACTTAGTTTTTTAAAAATTTATTTACGATAAATTGTTGTTCCTAATTTTTATGATAGAATCAAGAAAAGAAAATTCACAAAAATTAAGCTGATTCGACGTCGATTACGTCGATCTCAAAAAATGAGTCACCCCCATCATCAGCGCAAAGACCTTCCTCGTGCTAAATTCGTCGAAATCACTTCATCAAACTAGCTTCTTAACCGAAAATTACAATGAAATGTGAGATACCAAAGCTCTAGATCGGGGTGGAAGAAAAAATAAACGGGGCAAAATTATTCTTTTTAGTTTTTTCTTGCTGAGCAGTCAACTGGTGGACAAGATTGTTTCGAGTCTTTTAAAAAAGACCATAAACGGGTATCTCAAAACGATTTTCCTCGATCGCATTTTCAAACTAAATCTTTTCAGGCGAATGTTGAACACTGATAAAATGTCCCCGTAAAATTTTATTTTTAGCCAATATTCCCGGCTTTAAATTCACATTTAATAAATATTTATAAATACACACAAGCGTTGCCAAGTCAATAAAACATATCACCACCAAAAAAAGAAAACGCTAGTATTTTGATACGGTAAGATTTACTCGAACAACGATAAAATTTAATTTAACAATGTAATCATTAAAACAAAATGCTAGGGGTTGTGCTTGTGCATTGTTTGTACCACATTATTCATGTGAATAAATGTATTTTTAAAACCAATAACGATAACCTCAACATTTCAATCTTCTCCGGCTGGTAAATTATCCTTTAGAACTTCGATGAACTTGACTTTGATGACTGTGTTTGTTGGGGTTTCAATGGCTGTTGTGGTCACCTGCAAATTCAAAAATTCAACAAAAACCAGCTAATCAACCTTAATATGCACAGCCTCAAGACCACCGCGTATGGCTCCTGCAATCATTTGTGAATAATGTAACGATGTTAAATCTTGCGGAACCTGAATACGAGTTATGATCAGTTTCAAAAACAAAATTTACTTCAACAAATTCTGTCAACGGATTATTCTCAATCTGCAATGAAAATTCACGATCTCCTGATTCCCAATTATTGACGGTAGCGGAAACTCCTAAAGTTCGTTCAGTACGGTACTTACTAGATCAGTCGCCGTTCTATTAAAAACCAACCGAGGTAGGCAGGAATTACATTTTTGCTAAGGGTCTCTGCCATTTGTCGACAATCCGTACATTTCGGAACACCCGCTTGTTTTGAGAGAAAATCGTCCGCAAGTCGTATACCCATGTTGAAGCCAACCTAAAGAACATTTTTGCTACCTAGTTTCTTCTCAAAATTTAAAAAAAACAGTAAATGCTTTAAAAAAATACCTTATCTAATTGAAGATTCACTTGTCTTGGATCTTCATAATCTTTGAGCATTTCCGCGACTAACGATCCATACGTAAGGGCAAAAAGTTCGGAGGACATCTAAATAAATGTTATTAGTAAAACAATTGTCCAAAGCGTTCACACCTTTTTCGCGTCGACTCCAACCGGCTTTTGTTGCTTCGACATTGTGCAAAAAGTTTAAAAAAGCTAGACTGAAAAAAGTAAAAGTAAAAGTTGAAAATAGACTTATTATTCGCAAAACCTTGATCAATTTATTCAAAAAAAATGAGGACATTGAACCTCGTATTTCTAAATAAATATTATGGAATCCTTTATTTACATATAATAACAAAAACAATCTCATAATAATAACCAAACTAGTACGCTGCAAATTTGTTTAATACCCTAACAATCAAAACAATAGAAAAAACAATAAAATACGAAAGCTCTCATTTCTTCAACGTTAGCCCCGCTGCTTCCAAGCGTTTTTCAGTTTTATCGACAAGAGATTCTTCGTCTAAACAATAGTCATTAGCTAAATTCACAACAATTTCTAGTTACCTAGGTATAAATGAACTTTTTGATATAAATATCGAAGAAACAAACGAAAACCCACCCAATTCCGGTTCTTCCTTCTTTAATGCTCTGTATTCATTAATAAACATTTGACTTATGCTATCTCCAGGAACAAAAGCATTTATTATGCCAGTGCGATGATATTTTTGATAAAATTTCCTAAAAATTGTTATTTAAAAAGGTTGATAGTTTACGTACGCTCTGATATGGTCCTCTTCATAAAAGATTTTTCGTAAAGGCTCATCGTGTCGATCCATTTTTACATTCCAAACAGGTGGCGTAAGGGGTGGAGAAGATACGTAAACATCATACCTAAATAAATCCAATGAATTAGTAGTTTAAGATAAGAAAAATACCATAATGGTCGGTCACTCCAATGAAGTTGTCCAGAGCGTATCAAGCCAGTCACACGAAAGAATATTGATCCCGATCGCTCTGCTCGAGTAATGTATGTAGACATTGATCTGTCTAAAGTATAAATTAAGGGATTTAAAGACAGAATTTAAACTAAAATTGAAAGAAACAAAGAACGAGAATGATGAAGCAAAGTTGCTTCGAGAACGCGAGTTAACAATTGACCGCTAGTCAACACTAGAATTTACAAGTCGTGTAGCAAAAGTGCGGAGCTTTTGAGAAAGTGTATACATTAACGGTTTTTGTCAGTGTTGTTTATGTGGAAGCTGCGAGATTTCTAGTATTCGGATTGGTTTCTCTCCCACAGCGAGAGAAACACGGAGGTGGCTACTTTGCGCCAAATTTTTTTTTGCGCGACTCGCCATAACTTCCTTCTAAGTGGGTCAATCTTTATGGTTTTGGTGTCATTTTGTAGATCTTAATAAGTGCAACAAAATGAGACCAACATCATAAAGATTGGTCCACTTAGAAGGACGTTATGGCGAGTTGCGCAAAAAAATTGGCGCAAAGTAGCCACCCCCAGAAACACACTTTAGGAAACAACATTTGTTGGAAGTATAAAACTCTCCTAAACTTCCCAATAGATTTTTGGGTTCTTTTCCAATATCGGGGGAGCGGTCCGATTATCGGGGGAGCGGAAAGAAAATCGGGGGAGCGAAAGGAAAATCGGGGGAGCAAATTTTGCCCCCTCGAAAAATGCATTTCTGGGACTTTTATTTTAACTGCAACGTTTTTTTTTAAACTTTAACGACGATGCGCTTCTCCGATATTTGTGCGTTCAAGGAATCGACGGCAATCGATTATTTCGTCACCAAAGGAGTCATCCAGTCGTGGATTTGCAACTGTGGCGAATCGATGAAACTCCGCTCAAAGGGAAAAGATCTATTTCGCTGGGTATGTGACACTTGCGCACGGCGAAATGTCCCCAAGCATTCAAGAGGAATTCGAGTCGATAACTTTTTGCAACAAAAGCAAGCTCCCGTTTGTCACAATTTTAAAGTTCATACATCTATGGAGCCAGGGACTCACGACAATCAAACACTGTCAACAGGAGCTCGGCATTAGTGGCGACACCGTTGTTGAGTGGAACTACTAAACCGTTTAAAGACATGAACAGACGTCGACACGGCACCCACGGCACCATGGTGGATTCGTATATCGCTGAGGGATTGTGGCATCGCAATTTGCCTGCCGGAGTAAATGCATTCGAGTCGATCATGGAGGACATCGTCGATTTTTGGCCCGCAGGGGCGGAAATGAATACAATCCCTTTTTACAGTTAATTTGTGATTGCTAGAAAGGTTTTGTTTTGGTTACTTTTGTTTTATTTTGGTTACTTTTCTTTTTGTTTTGGTTACTTTTGTTTTTGTTTTGGTTACTTCGCTTACATTTCTTTCGTTGTTATGATCAATTATACTATTAATGAATAAATTTTTAGGTAGCCATTTGTTCGTTCGGGATTGTGGAGCGTTCGGCAAAAAGAGAAGGCGGCCGATAGGGAAGGTAGAGGTATGTTTGGTGTTAGATATTTAAGTCACTTTTGTGATCTAATATAAAGGTTGTGAGAATAACGGGTAATTCGCGGATTTTATGGCAGTACTTTGGATAATATAGGACATATGTAGCGCTGCCAAAAAATTTAAAAAAAAACGTTGCAGTTAAAATAAAAGTCCCAGAAATGCATTTTTCGAGGGGGCAAAATTTGCTCCCCCGATTTTCCTTTCGCTCCCCCGATTTTCCTTCCGCTCCCCCGATAATCGGACCGCTCCCCCGATATTGGAAGAGAACCGATTTTTGTGAAAAACGACTGATTTGTTTACTGGAGCTTATTGTGATTTTTTGTGTCGTTGTTCTAATAATAATTTTAATAAAACGATTATATTCGATCAAATGATTAAACAAGAAAAACAATCTACATCATCAACAACAACAATAACAACAACAAAACAACAACAACAACAACAACAACGAGTTTAAGAGGATAAAGAGCATTTTGAAAGTGTATTTTTATTTTTTAAGAGTTTGCTTAGGATTCGTCGTACTCGGCCTTGATCGTACGTTCCAATTGATAATTCTCGGATGATCCTGGTTCATCCTCATCTTCATCGTAAAATTCTTCAAATTCTTCACAATCATCCGTCAAAGTATACTCATCATCCTCAAATTCATCACCGGGCTAAAACTCTTACAGTACACGCTTTTTTAAACTGATACATATTGAAATACCCTGAACAGGGGTGATTAGGGTGAAAGATATTATATTCTGTTTCACTACAATCTGCCTAGATGACAAGTATTCATCCACGATTTTTGAATGATTCCGATTCGCATAGTCGCAAAAGTTTTTTAGTATTTCATTTTTTGCAAAGCACCCATACTTTCAAAAATAGCTCTGAATTTCAGCTATTTTTCGATACCTAAGCGCGCATTGTAGCATAAACTAGTGTCGAGAAAAACGCGTACAAAGTTAGACTACGCAACACTCCGCACCATCATTATGGCGGTGCAGTACTATTACAGTATTTACGGTACTTTCTTTTTCCTTTTCTGCAACATTTGACTTCAATGAGCTTACCATGCTTTCAGTTGTTGAACACAATCCATTGATTACTGTCACCAGTGCTTCTATTTGCTCCATCGTCTCTTCAATCAATCTGTAACCATTTCACTCAATGCCGTAAGAAAGCTTTACTTTTCATAAGTCGGCAGCACACGTGCACAATTGCAGGATCGTTCCTTTCTTTCCGTTAAAGAAGAGTCGCTGCTCTCTGAAATTAGCTCTTGAACACTAAATTTAGCACATCACAAACCACAACCAGAATGAGTCTCGCAATTAAATTTCTTCAATGTCCTCACTCCTTGCGAATTCACGAAAGTCCTGGCATGGTTTCCATTAAAAGATCTAAACAGAATTTTGATTGATTGATTTGATTTTGATCTGATTTGATAATACTTTTTTTGCTGTTAAATAATTCGTTCACCTGTTCTTTGCATGCTTCCGAAGATAATCGCCATTCCATTCATCACTTTCTTCTTCTTCTTCTTCACCAGGATCTTCGAAATCACTCTTAACATTATTAAATGAGACAAATCTTAGATTTAGAGACTTACATCAATCGATGATGATGGAAACACATTTCCACTGAAAGAGTTGATGCTAGACTTCAGCTTTCCTCCGCATTCTTCGGGCTTGATATCTTCCTAAATTCAACTATCTACCAAGCATTTTTCTGAAAGCATACTTGATCGACCAAATCTTCAGACATCAAGTAACTAAAATTAGAAAATTGATTGAAGTTCGATTGTCAACCCACTCATCAAACGCAGCTGGATGTTCTCGCTTGCGTCTAGGTCTTGAAGATTCATCATTTGTGACTGGAATTGGGTCCGTTTTAGTTTTTTCCTAAAATTCGTCATAAGCTTGTTTTTGAATGCTGAAATACCAAGCTTTTGAAGATGCTTGCTGTTAGAGTTCTTGACGAAGAGGGGATTCTTATCGTCACTGACTTTATAGTGGATTCTTCACTAAATAGTGTTGCATGTAATGAAGAAAATGAATTCTACAAGATATAGAATTTATTTTCTAAAATATTCTTTAAACCTACATACGTGGATCATCAAGTTTTGAAGTAGATGGCATAACTTCCTGTTGAGTGATCACTGGGATCATGCTGGGGTTTTCCTTGATGAACACTCTTTGAATAACTTTCTTTTGTTCAGATTGAGCTAGATAATTTTTTTTAAAATCTCTTTTGTCTTTTATTTACCTTTAATTGGAAGATAGCTCTTTTGCTTATTTCCAAGGTGTAGCGTTGGAAACGGGAACTCTTCACTGGGTTTTCCATCGAGGAAATGACGAGCACAAACCTAAAATTCTAATTCTATCGATATTAGAAAATTGACTTTAATGAAATGCAAAATTCCATTAGAATAAACCTTTTGCTGACTTGGCATCCCGTCACCGACAATTCCCGGAACAGCTTTCTTCCATAAGCTTCTCAATTTAACTTTGTTTTTGTCGGGCAGAGTGAAGAATTCTAAGGCAACTCCATTCCCATCCAGAGTCTAAATATTATAGAAATTGGAAAGCTTTTGTAATGTTTTGCAAAGTTTTGCTTTGTTTTTGTTAATGTATTGTAAACAATATAAACCTCTCCAGTGCTTTCACAACTCTCCACCGCACACAGCAACATTCCGAGTTTTGGGATCGAACGTCGAGAGCTTCGTCTCGGTTTTGGGGACTCTGTGCTTCTGAAAAAGTTAGCAAAAGTAAAAATCTGTATTCATTTGTTTCAATTAGATATTCAGTTAGATATTCAATTAGATATTCAATTAGATTTGTATCCTTTTAAACCCACTCCTCATCGCTTTTCCTCATCATTTTGCTCTTCTCAGATTTGTAACGTTTGATTATCTCAAATTAAAGTAATATTTTTCAAATTTTCAATTAAGTAATCTTTTTTTAAAAAAGTTTTAAAGCTAAATACTTTTTTAAAGGTATAGTAAAAGAGGTTGTACCTGAGAAAACGAGAGACAACAATGAACACTTGAATAACACCGACAGCTTACAAAGAAAAACAAAAAAACAGCAACTCAAAAGGATTTAGATATTAATAATAAATCTAATTTGAGATTTATTTTTTATTTTCTTTTCTTATTTTCTTAAATGTCTCAACCGGGTTCATCGATCGGGATCACTCGAAATCTGACCGAAGTTTTCGTTCTGCTACGAAACAACGCTCAACAAAACAAATTCATTTATGGAAATGGAAATGCTTCAAGAAATGGTTTGACTTTCAAAAATTTAATTAATAAATGAAAAAAAAAATAATGTAAATGTCGAAAATTTGATAATAATTAACGAAAAGGGCTTTGAATTGAATAATTCCTCAATAGACAATTGCCTCGATAATTTCCCAGGCAGATGAATAAATGAAATTTCTTGCTTTAGAAGAAAAACTGAGCCTTGTTGCATTGGAGGAGGGAAATGAGCATCGTGACTCTGAGCAACCCATGTGGATTCACACATCGGATGAAGTTGAATTTGAGTTCGGAAGGTATAAAAAAAACTCAAGCAATCACTTTTATCACAAAAGAAAATCAGAATACGATCTCGTCTCGAAGAGTTAGAACAAATGCAGAAACGGCATCTCTCAAAACCGAATATTGGAGACGAAAACTTTGAGGTAATTCAAAGAAAAGCAATTCAAGACTTCAATAAAGTTTGTATGTCATTTCTCTTTATCTCAATGTTCATTTCCCCATCTGTCTCTATAAATACTTAATTTCCATTCGCGGGTTTGCGGTGCTTTTCAGCAATAGGCTTAGGAGGCGGTCTATTCCGATCTGCCAAGTTAAGCGACATCGGGCTCAGCTAGTCGCTGGTTCGGATCCTTTTGCAGTTTTTCAACTCAATTTTGCAATAAAACATAGCATTAATAAATAAAATGATAGATTATTGCTGAATCGGTTTTTGCATAGACGTAGTTACTGGTTTTGGTACCGACTCTTGCCAAACCGAACCAACAAATCCCTAAATCGGCTCAAAGATGACTCATTGAGTCATGCGATTGGTTTGAATTGAAATTAATCACATTATATGCAAAATATAACTTAAAGAAATTACCGTAGCCTGCAAATACATTCATTGAGAAATAAAAGCAAGAAAAGTCTTGTTCATTTCCAACAAACTTTAGGAAGAAGAAAAACAAATGGAAGCGATGACCGAACAAATCACTTCAATGCTCGGACATTGCCAGAGATTGATTGGGTTTGTGTTTAGATGGATTGTGTTGATGAAATTCTTATGAATTTAGATTATTGCGAACACAATCCGTTGCCCGTGAGTCAAGCTCTGAGCATCGTCTACGTGAGAACGCGATCTCAGCTTTATTGCTAACCCTTAGCGATATCACCAATAATTTCCGATCTCGACAAACAAATTACTTAAAAAGAATCAAGAGCCGGTAAATGAATACAGAATTTTAATGAATTTAAGAAACTTTCTAGAACAAATCATTTGGATTCTTATTTGGTGACAAGTGGACAAACAGATGAACCATCTTGGGATCAACTTGTTGATTTGACTCCAACGAAAGAATATAGGTGAATGGAAATGAATGGAAATGAATGGAAATGAATGAAAATGACCCCCTAATTCTTTTTTTCTTAACTTTTCGGGTAGTAACGGGTCAGGCAGTCTGCTTACTAATCGATTTCGAAAACTCTAGTAAAAAAATACTAGTTTTCTCAATAGTTTCATCTATTTTAATCGAAAATACTGTTTTTTTAAACTTTCATAACCGTTGTTGAAAGATTAAAAATAGAAAATAAACAAAAATAGAAGAAAATAAACAAAAATAAACACGTAGAAGCAAGTAGAAAACAAGTAACAACTTTAAACAAGTAGAAAAACAGAAGAAAAACAGAAGAAAACATGTAAGCTTCTTCGCATAGCTTTGCAATCAAATCTCTCTCTCTCTCTCTCTCTTCATTCCCCAATTTTTCTTTACTTTACCAAAGCTTTACATTCTTTTCTCAATAGTTTCATCTATTTTAATCGAAAATACTGTTTTTTTAAACTTTCATAACCGTTGTTGAAAGATTAAAAATAGAAAATAAACAAAAATAAACACGTAGAAGCAAGTAGAAAGGAAAAAGATCTTTAGCATGGTTCAACTGCAACAAATTATGAATAACGAGATCGAGGTTCGGCAGAGAGAAAATGAGGTTTGGGGAAATTTCACTCTAAACTAACTAAATCTAAACTGAAAATGAAAATTTTCAGGTGTTGGCTGTAAATAGTTCAATTCGAGAGTTGAATCATCTCTTCAAAGATGTTTCTCAGATGATTATTGATCAAGGAACGATTTTGGACAGGTGAAAGCTTTTATTGCGTGACACTAAAGAAATGGAGACTAATTTTACACGACTTTACCAGATAATAAGTTTAATCGAATCAAAAACATTTCAGAATTGATTATAACGTCGAACAGGCATCAATTCGAGTAAACAAAGCGGTGGCAAGTGTTGAGAAAGCAGAAAAATATCAGAGAAATGACAAGAAAATGCATTGTATTTGTTTCCTAGCTGCTGCCATTCTTTTAGTTCTTCTTTTTATTGTTTTAAAAAAAGCTATATAAGTCTTTGTTCTAATTCTAATTTTGGGATAGGCTAGTTTCCGTAATTTTTTTTTGCGCAACTAGCCATAACTTCTTCTAGGTGGGTCAATCTTTATGGTTTTGGTGTCATTTTGTAGATCTCAATAAGTACAACAAAATGAAACCAAACCCATAAAGATTAGCCCACTTAGAAGAAAGTTATAGCGAGTTGCGCAAAAGACCTACACTACTGGATAATGAAATATCATATCTGAAAAACGATCGTCACTTTCATGCATCTGTAACTCCCTTGTCTTTGAGTTTAAACTATTAGTGTTATACATTTTCTGAAAGCTCTTTTCAAGGGCTACACAATGGTAATATTAATATTTCGAAATACGGTAAAGACAAGGGAGTTACAGACGCGCGAAAGTGACGATCTTTTTTCAACTATGATATTTCATTGTCCAGTAGTGTAGTTGCGCAAACTAGCCTACCCCCTAATTCTTTTTTTCTTAACTTTTCGGGTAGTTACGGGTCAGGCAATCTGCTTACTAATCGATTTCGAAAACTCTAGTAAAAAAAACTACTAGTTTTCTCAATAGTTTCATCTATTTTAATCGAAAATACTGTTTTTTAAACTTTCATAACCGTTGTTGAAAGATTAAAAATAGAAAATAAACAAAAATAAACAAAAATAAACACGTAGAAACAAGTAGAAAACAATTAACAACTTTAAACAAGTAGAAAAACAGAAGAAAAACAGAAGAAAACATGTAAGCTTCTTCGCATAGCTTTGCAATCAAATCTTCTCTCTCTCTCTTCATTCCCCAATTTTTCTTTACTTTACCAAAGCTTTACATTCCATTTGTTTGAGATATATTCCATTTCCATTTAATAATAAACTATTTATTTATTTATTTACATCAAAAAAATCAAAAATTCCATCAGAATAATACCTTGAGAATGAGGAAATTTCAAGTTTACACTTTTTTTTTAAAGCGGTAAATACAGAAGGCCAATTGTACATGACATAAAATCGAAGAGATCAAGGCTGATAAAGAAATTAGTTAAAGAAATTTGATAAAGAAATTCATTTGAGGTTTAGATTTCTTAAAAAAACTGACCTCGAGATCTACGCGTTGAGGTAATTTTTCAAAGCTTTAGATATAAAAAAAAATATATATATAGAATCATGGCTAGAAATAAATTGTGGGAGCTGAGCGTAAACGTTTTTTTTAAAATAGAATTCCTAACAAGCTTGGTTTCAAGAGATGCTAGCAAAAGCGCCAAATTATTTGCGCCGCGTATCATTTACGCCAAATTTGCGCTTTTCAACACACTTTCCCACCAATTCTGGTTGTTTATTTTAAATTTTTTATTACTTTTTCTGATGCTGGCTATTTTGCCGACTTTATCGGATCTGAGAAATGGCATAAAAACGATTTAAAGATCCAAAAATCAATCGGACTAAAAATGACTGTTTTTGGGCTGTATATGTCGTAGCCGTTTACGAAATTCATCCGATAACGAATGATTCGTTAACGGCTGAATTTCGTAAACGGTAAATTTAGCGCAAATGAAACGTGACGCAAATGAAATTGGCGTCAATTTTGGCGTAAAAAAAAACGCGGCGCTTTTGCTAGCAAATCGGTTTCAAAAACTTGTCCAATTTTTTTTCAAATGTCCCTGATTGTGGTGGCTCGCGTTTTCGCGACTCTGCGCGGCATTTGGCGACGATTTGCTGCAACTTCCTGGAAATGGTATATTTTGATTATGGATTTTTTTATCAAATTGATGCCATTTATCCATTTTTCTCATTCATTTCTCCAATTATTTCGAGTTTTTACCTTTTCATCACTCGTCTCTTCGCTAAAATCCATCTTTTTCACTCGACCTTTCTGCATTCGCTCTTGATTTTCAGCTTTCAACTTTGAGCTGCTGAATTTTTAATATTTTCATTTGAAAGTATCATTTTTTTTATACCTAAGTAACTCTTTAATCTTTTGCTTATCAGTTTTTCCATTTTTTCGTGTCAATCTTCTTGGTGTTGCCTCGTTGTTTCGTTTTTTCTGAAATTATTGGGAAGTGGGACAAATGCGACCTTTTTTTGCGCACCCGGACATTTGCGCACGTTTTTTTTGCTAGATATTCTTTAAAACATTTCTTTTATAAATCTAAAGATCTCAATGTTAACACTTGAATATCTTTTAATACCTTTAAGATAAAGATATTCAAGTGTTAACATTGAGATCTTTAGATTCTTTAACTTTTATGGCAATATCTTTTCAGCTGAATATCTTTTAAAATCTCTAAGATAAAGATATTCAGTCTAGTTGCCTGAATACTTTTATCAAGGGATATTTAGACAGAACTTGAATCTTTTTTTTCGGGAGTGGGACAAATGCGACCTTTTTTTTGCGCACCCGGACATTTGCGCCCCTTTTTTTCCGCACCTTGCCCATTAGCGCACCTTTTTTTAAAGCACCTTCGCGTTTTAAAAAAGCTCTAAAAAGCTAATATTAACCAATTTCTATTCGAAAAGTTGTTTTTCTAGGTAATTTTAGGGCGTAGAATTCAAATTTTAACATAACAGAGCGTGTGGAAACAAACGGACGGAGTTATACAAAGAGAAAAATCGACAATTTTCTGTAATTTGATCTAGCCGTTTTGTCTTTCAAATTGGTTAATATTAGCTTTTAGAGCTTTTTTAAAACGCGAAAAAAAGGTGCGCTAATGGGCTAAGTGCGCAAAAAAAGGTGCGCAAATGTCCGGGTGCGCAAAAAAAAGGTCGCATTTGTTCCACTCCCGAAATTATTGAAATGAATACAATGATAAAAAGTTAATTAATAGAATCTATCAATTAGATCAATTAGATTTATAATAATTATTTATATTATATCAAACCTTCATCGGACTTTTTGTTTTACTCCTTTCTCTTCCCAATCTCGTCTCAGCACTCCGAGAAAACGAACGCAACGCTTGCAGCAGTTTCGGTGGCGGTTTTGCATTTGCAATTAGCTAAAATTTTAAAATTCTATAACTTATATTATATTATATCTTTTAATTTCATCATTTCAATTCTTTCAACCTCTTTCAATTCATCGACACTTTCTTTTAAAGTCCATAGAGCATGCTGAGAAAATCCGAAATCGACATTAACTGTTTTGAAAATCTAAAATCTTCATTTCCCTTTTCCCCTTTTCTCTACAATTACCATAGCAAATGGCACAAAAAGATCATATTTTTCTTTCCCAATTTGTTCAAGACAAAGAAATCCCTCATCTTCGATTGTCGTTAGGTAATTTTTGATGACAGTGATCACTCGACTCAATAGATTCACTTGAGCACTGATCTGAAAGGAAAATTGTGACTTTGAAGTGAAAATCGGATCTCCAAATGCATTTTAGCAAGCGGCTTTGTTGTCTAAAGCTTAAAATCAAATTGTATCTGTCGTAGCCGCTTGTGAATGAAATTTTTTGGCGAATCTTTCTAGTAGAGCAACCCTTTAATGTATGAGGACAATCTTATATCATTTTGTAGGGAATTAAATTCTGCGTCGATTGGTATCAAATTTGTGAGTTTATGTTTAAAAATGCTTTCAACGTTTCAACGTTCAACGTTTACAACGTTTCATTCAAAATCGACGGTACCCCCGTAGCTGATTCTGAATTTCAGCCGATTATGAATTAAAAAATTTAACAAATTATCAATGATTCTGCGTTGAATGATACTAAGCACTTGATGGTTGGACGCGTCTAGACACTCATTGGACACACTCATTGGATTAGACACACTCATTGGTTGAACGCGTCTAGACCCACTCATTCATAATCAACTAAATCAGCTATGTTTTTAAAAACAAAACTCATTTGCTCGAGTACTTTGAAGTAAAAATTGTCTTACTTCTTCATTTTCTAGTTTGCTCACATCATCTTCTGTATCGACAGGCTGAAATGGTTTGGAATTATTAACGATCCCTTTTGCAAATCTTTGCACAATTACCTTTTTGTTTCTCATTATCATATGTATCACTTCAGCTGAGGTGCTCAATGTAGCAAAGAGAGTGATATTTTCACAAGAAATCTAAAGTAAAATCTTTGGTATTCTTTAGTATTCTTTAGTAATAAATAATATGATAATTATCTTATGAATAATAAGATAATAAATAGTAATAAATAATATGATAATTATCTTATGAATACATAAATCTTACCGCACTCAACAAGTTCCACCAAGCATCCGGAATTTCGGGATCATCTCCCAGTGCTCGCTGATCAAAGAAATGAAAAAGAGCATCGACTATCAGTCCTTGATTGAAACTAAACATTGTTGAATCTCTAATATTATAAATAAGCATATAAAAATTATTTTTCAATTTAATTATTCTCTCAAAAAGCTTACCGATCTCCGCGAAAAATCTCAAAAAAACTCATGAACATCGACCGAAGATAGGGCTGTTTTGCGCACTTTGGATGCATCATTCTAGAAATTGATTCGTTTTAAATCCGTTTAATTTAGTTAAATCCGTTATATACCGTATTTACTCTATTAGTGGGGTCCTCTCTAATAGTGGGGTCGTCTGGAGGGGGGTTGAAAAAATAGTGGGGTCCTCTCTAATATTGGTAACGAAAGTGATACATCAATTGTTGATCTCTTGGATTAGTTCTTTTACTGTTTGTTAATGTTTTGTTACGGTTAAAGCTAAATAAAATATGAAGCCAAACTTGTTTTTTCAAGAATTTCGGAGAAAAATTGATATCTTTTCAATTTAAAACTTTGGTTTTATGTTCTTTTAAATTTCTCTAATAGTGGGGTCCTCTCTAATAGTGGGGTCGTCTGGAAGGGGATTGAAAAAATAGTGGGGGACCCCACTAATAGAGTAAATACGGTAACACTATTTTAAAGATATTTCTATATCAAACCTAACGAGCAGTGCGCTCAGAATTTTCTCGATCTTTGGGATTCTCGGTTGATTGAGGACGAGTTTCGTGGCGCATTCATAAATCGCCTCCTCGTGCGGCTCGATCCCATCTTCTTCGTAGGGGATTTTCTAAAAAATATAGCTGGAAATTGTAAAAAATCATTTGGAAACTATCGTAATTATAATGATTCTAATAGTAATTGCAATGATTCTAATAGTAATTATAATGATTCTAATAGTAGTTACAATGATTCTAATAGTAATTGCAATGATTCTAATAGTCTAATAGACAGACGGTCCATCTATTTTTCAACCTCCAAAATAGATGAATCGAAAATGAATCGAAAATGTGCACAAGTAAGTGCAAAAGACTAGCCACTCGCTAGTCGGTGCCATGGCTGATTGGATAAGACACCTGCCTCTCGGCCGTGATCCTACGCGACAGCTCAGGGGTTCAATCCCGCCGGTCAATTTTTTGATTCTTTTTCCATATAGAAGTTTGAATGAATGAATCAAAGATTTTAAAACCGTTAAGAACTATTGAAAGCAATATTGAAATATTTAGATCAAGAACTATTGGAAGCAATAGTTCTTGATCTAAAATAGACAGAAAACACGTTCTATTAGTATATTCGTATTACGGTGATTAAAATTTAGACAAACCTGTATAATCTCATACAAGTGCTCGACAAAATCGAATTTCGTTCCATTGCTCTCAATCTCGATTGTCTCGATCATCTAAAATTTAGAATCGATTTAAAAAAAGATACATAAGCTTACCTGTTTATAACTTGATCCCAAAATCACATCTGTTAATGCTTGAGCGGTGATTGTCTTAAAGTGCTTCGATAGAAAAATAAAGAAAGCTTTTTTAGTAAACAAGAGAAATGTTTCAGAAAATTTATTCCAAAGAAAGTTAATTTTGAAATATTGTGAAATATTACTGTCTATAATATTACTATTACTATAATATTACTGTTTATATTATTGTCTGTTTATATTATTGTCTATTAATATTACTATAATATTACTGTTTCTAAATATTACCTGAGATGCTTGATCATCTTCAACTTGAGTGGCGATCGTTGCCAAAACCGGCACATACGCCTTGTACTCATCTGGGAACTGCATCGCGAGAGCAGTCAGCTCAAATTTTTGATTTTAATTTTTATCGATAAAGTTTTTTCTTTCCTTTATTTAAAGATTTCTATAAAGTTTTAGCTTTTTCGGGTATTTTGAGCCGACCGTCACACTTTGAAGCCCTATAACTTTGTCTAGAGATCATATTTTTCTTAACTTTTTATATCATTGTACAGAGGACATTTCAGGCTTTTAAATGATACCAAATAGAGCTTAACTGGATTTTTTATACCCATGAAAACAAGGCGACACGACACCCGAGTTGGATGGGCCTCATTTGCTCAGAGTTGGCTCTGATTTTTTGGATTGGATTATTCAATGAAGCTCTATTTGGTATCATTTAAAAGCCTGAAATGTCCTCTGTACAATGATATAAAAAGTTAAGAAAGATATGATCTCTAGACAAAGTTATAGGGCTTCAAAGTGTGACGGTCGGCTCAAAATACCCGGAAATTACCAAAGAGCCAAAAATTTTCTTTATTTACCCTTTCACTGACCATTTCAAGATAAATCATCGAGATTTCTTTTTCTGATGGATTCAACGTCCTCGCCATTCCCATCACCAATATATTGTACAGTTGTTTATCCTAGAATTACTTGCTATTTCAATTAACATTAAAATCAAAGATGTACGTTTAGCTAAGAAATTTTGAAACATCTTTGATTTCTATAATTCAATAGGTTATCAACTTCACAAACGCAAATAAGGAAAAAGAATTTGCAAACAGAAAAGAATATTGACTCAACTACGAGAAAAACTTAGCTTTATATGAACCATTTTTTTTTACATACCACCTGAAAGAGATTATATTGATTATATTGATTTGAAAAATTAGAGTTTTATCCTTACATATCGATGAAGTGTGTTGACGACAATGGTGCGAATTTTCTCGAAGCGTCGACTTTTCACCATTGCATTTAAGGTTAAACAAGCGTGACCGAGGGGTTCGTCGAGTAAAATGGGAGCGCCAGTCTGGAAAAGAAAGCTTTAATACTTGTTTCTAATTGTTTAATGGCAATGAATGGCATCTCTAGACAAAATGTCATTCTAATAGAAGAGTTATGATAAGTTGAAAAGTTTTATTCACCTCATCACTTGCAGATTCGTGGTTATGCAATGTGTACCATTTGTTGATCGTGTCCTCCAAATGGAAGATCAAATCACCCCAAAGTCTCTGCAAATCTACTATATATAAAAGAGTTACTATCTATTGTAGCTGTGCCATTTAAAATACAAAAAATTTTAAAAGTCAAGATGGGGAGTCGAACCCGGCTCGTGTGCAGGTCGAAGCCGAGTTGTAGACAAGCGTACTCCCGACTGCGCCACGGCGACAAGAGACTAGGCAAGAAAAAGCCAGTGTTAGGGGGGTTTGGCTGGTTTAAGTGTCTAATTTAATGTAAATTTAAGATTACTGTCTAGCCAAAAGGTATTCAGTTGACAAGATTGAATATTTTTGTTTCAATTGAAGAATTCGAAAGTGCTTGGCTTTGACAGTAAGCAGTCTTGTAAAATTCGCCTTTTTTCCGTCCGTTTTTTGATTGGCTATGTATTTTTCTCATATCTTCACTAGATTTTTATTGAAAAACGTTGAATTTTTGCTTTCATTCGACTTGAAATCAAATTTTCTATCGAATGAAAGCAAATTCAACATTTTTCAAACAAATTGAACAAAGATACGAAAAAAATTCGGCAAACTGTCTGCTCAACACTTTCTTTCTTTAATTAAAACAAAAAAAGGATTCAATCTTCTTAATTGAATATCTTTTGGCACAATGTTTTCAATGTTTACCGTTAAAAATCCCTCATCAATGACCGTTTCTTCAAGAATGAATGTATCAATGTATTCATAGATCGCCAACTCGACCACACTTCGCTCGATTACCATATTTGTTAACAAATGTAATAGCAGCTTACGATATTCAGCTCTAAATCTTAAATAGATTTCTCTTTTAATGAAGATCAAACAATCCATATCGATCCGCTTCCAATACTTTGAGTACATTTATGATATCTTCTAATACAAATGCTTTCGCTGTGTGCTCTTCAGCGTTCAAATTAATTGCAAATTGTTGAAAGTTTGAGAGATAGAATCTAGAAAAATAAGACATAAAGAAATTAGAGTTTTTAAATTTTTATTTTCAAACCTCGTCACAGCGCTAGCAGTTTCTTTTAATGAGGGTGAGAGTCGAATCAATGCATCAGTAAATGCTCCTTTATCGTCTCCTGCACATTTTCGCACATAATCCACCATAGCTCTCCACAGGAAAAGCACGGAATAAAGTGTGTCAAAAGGTAGTCTAAAATTGGATTTTAAATGACTCTTTTATTGTCTAACTTCATGATCCTTTTGAAGGTCCAATTCGTGACCACGACATCCGTCTGTAAACTTATTATTTTAAAAATAAAATTTAATCACACGAATAATTTGGTAAAAACAAACGCAACTCTTCCCTTAAGCCCTAAATGCCGGAAAGAAAAAAACCTATACAGTCGACTCTCGATATAACGATGTTCGATATAACGATGGTCATGCTCGACCGATCCCCATATAAATTGACTTAAAACAACTCTTGATATAACGAATATGTTCGATATAACGATATGTTTGATATAACGATATGTTTGATATAACGAATATGTTTGATATAACGAATATGTTTGATATAACGATATGTTTGATATAACGATATGTTTGATATAACGATATATTCGATATAACGATTTCAAGCGCCGGTCCCGAGCGAATCGTTATATCGAGAGTCGACTGTACATGAAAAAAAAACCAAAAATCTACCGACAGGATTGAACCCTTGGCGTCTAGACTATAGTGCCGAGTGAGAGACTTAGCCAGTCGGTCATGGCACCCACTAGCCAGTCGCTAGTCTTTTGCCCTTACTTGTGCAACTCCGCTGAGCAAGTCTCGAATGAACTCGTTTATTGCTGGAGTGTTTGGGCTATTCTGGTGGTAAAACTCTAGAATTCGCTCCACGATTCGTCGACAAACCTAGAACAATTTAAAGTTGTTACTTTTTTCGCTGTAATTGTATCATTTATTTACAAATGTTTCATTGAGCTTACCCTTTTTTGTAGAGCAAGATTTGCTGGCTCGAGATGAAAGAGAATGTTTGTGATTGCAAAGAGAACACCGTCAAAACGAGATTTCGTTGCTTTTCGTTTTGGATTTGAGGCATTTTGCTGAAAAATGAGATTCCAATTTTTAATGGAAATAATTTGAGCTCTTAAAATCCGATTTTCTCACCTGAACTAGCTGATTGATCCAACCAATCAATAGAAATTCTTCAGCGAATTTCCGAATATTTACTGAAAAACATTTTGATTAATATTTTGAAAAGAAAAAAAAAACAATTTCTATCCAAGAGAGTTCCCGCTAACAAATTGTAGAGTTGCGTAGGAGTGAATTGAAGAAAATCATCAGTGGACAGGCGTTTAATTGCGGCACAAGACGTCTATAAGTGGGGGATTTTTGAAAGCAAAGTTTCACTAGTATGTCGGAAACAAAAAAATCTAACATTTCTCTCACCACAAACCTCAATTTGGTCATCATTTAGCGCGATCTCGATCAAAACATTCCGAAATCGTCCATCAGCCAGACTCACCACCGTCGTTGTGGCGCATCTCACACGGTATTCACCATCAAATAATAAATTGTAAAGAGCTTAAATGTAAAGAGCTTTATTTTCATCTCTTCTTTACAATTACCATCTTTTGGCGAGAAAACAACTTTTGCATTGACTGGCTCATCTTGTACAACTGATAACCCTTTAATGACAGCCATTCGGAGTTCGGATTCCTGAAAATTGAGGAATTAGCAAAAGGAGATGTCCCGCGAGGGGATTGAACTCTAGGCCAAGAACTGAACTCTAGGCCAAGAAATTGAACTCTCTTACTTTTCTGACGCTACCTTGATCAACTGCTCTAACCACTGAGCTATCCAGTACCTTAACTGGGGGAGAGGAAAAAGGAAATACAAGGCGGAAGGAAGAAAAAGACGGAGTAACAATAAGTTGTAATGATAAGTTAATGATATGATAATGATTGTAATGATAAATAAGTTTATTTTACTTTTGCTCGAGAAAAGAGAAGTAGCCATTTCAAGATTTTCTCTCGTTGTTGTGCGTTTAGAATGTGCTTTCCTGAAATTTATTCAATTTTTCTTATATCAACTTTCTTACCTTGACCAATTTGTAGTGAACTGTCAAGTAAACGACCCAAAAAGATCAAACAATTTCTCTGGAGTTCTTTTGAATTATAAAAGAGACACTAAAATTGAGATGAATTTAGGTTTTTTCAAAAACTATCACCTTTTCACAAGAAGTAAAGAAAAAGTCAAAGACTTTTGACAGCTTTTCACCAACAAAGATCACAGCCAAGCGGCTAAACATTCGCAGAACATAATCAACTTTTTTTTCCTTTGGTTCTCTGAATTTTTATTGGATTTGTTTTGTGGGAATTTGTTGTTATCCTTACACTAAAAGAACCTCGAATCTAGCTTTTAGATTTTGAAAATAGAAATTTTCTAGATCCTCATCGTTGCTTTGTAGAATCTGAAAAGAGTGTCTTTAAGATTGAAGAATTTCTTTTATTATATGTAGTCTAGTTATTATAAACTTTTTTATATGTAGTCTTCAAAATTTGTATTGAAGCTTTCATTTCGGCATTCATCATTTCATCAGATGCCTGAAAAATGTTGTTATTATTGTTGTTGTTGTTATTATTGTTGAGAAGGAGTTTACATTGATGATCCCTGAAATTGACTCGATAATGTTTTTGTCGACCATGCATCCCTATAAATTTATTCTTTCTAGTTTCCTACTTCAAGTTATACTTGATCTGATAAAGTTGATTCCCTTTTCACTTCAGTTTTTAGCTCTGGTGACTCATTTTTTGTAGTAACTTCTGGTTGTTCTTCGATTTCCTCGTCTTTGGAAAAAACTGGCTTTTTTGAGGTCTTCTTGTTCTGAAATTAGATAGAAATTTAAAACAATAGCTTTAATACAATACTTATAGGTGAATTGAATAAAATTTCGATTAAGCAATGTCAAAAAATGTTTTCCATAGCACAAAATGAACCCACGCTTGCTTGTGCGGGAGCTTTTCGAGCTCGAGACTTTTGTTGAGGTTTATTCTCCACTATTTTCTGTTCCGTTTCTTCCTAAAAAAATCTATATTGCTAAAGAATTTTTCAATAAAACTTTTGGCAAATCTTCATGCTCTTCAAGAGCATCTTCGAAAACTGGCTCTCGATCACCATTGCTTTGATTTAACTGAAGTCTGGTGTTTTCGATTTTTATCTAGTTGACTTACACTTTCGGGCGCTGAGACAAATGAATCCTCCTCATGAGCAACTTGATTTTTCACACCTCTCCTAGTTTTCTTCTGCTGTTTTACGGGTGAAGGTGAAGCCTAAAAAACGTTCAATAATTGTCATTGGTTAAATTTTTTTACCGATTTTCTTTTCTTTTGTCCTCGTGACTTAGCCACTGCTCGTTTTGGTGGCATTCACGACCTATAATAAAAAAAAAAGAAATAATCAAGAGTCTGAAAAAGACAAAAAGCTTATACTTTTGAATCTATAGCAAAGAAAGATTAATTAGATCAAGATAAAGAAAGAGAAAGAGATAAAGATACCAAAAATTTAATTATTGGTATCTTTATCTCAAAGTTTGTAAAAAATTGAAAAGATATAATAAAACATCGGGAGTGGGGCAAACGCGACCTTTTTTTGCGCACCCGGACATTTGCGCACCTTCTTTTTCCGCACTTAGCCCATTAGCGCACCTTTTCTCGCGTTTTAAAAAAGCTCTAAAAAGCCAATATTAACCAATTTCTATTCCAAAAGTTGTTTTTCTAGGTAATTTGAGGGTGTCGAATACAAATTTTGACATAACAGAGCGTGTGAAACCAATTTGAAAGACAAAACGACTAGGTCAAATTACAGAAAATTGTTGATTTTTCTCTTTGTATAACTCTGTCCGTTCGCTTCCACAAGCTCTGATATGCCAAAATTTCGATTCTACGCCCTAAAATTACCTAGAAAAACAACTCTTGCGAATAGAAATTGGTTAATATTAGCTTTTTAGAGCTTTTTAAAACGCGAAAAAAGGTGCGCTAATGGGCAAGGTGCGAAAAAAAAGGTGCGCAAATGTCCGGGTGCGCAAAAAAAAGGTAGCATTTGTCCCGCTCCCTAAAACATTGAAAAGATATAATAAAACATCGTGTAATTTAAATAGCATCTATTTGATTTACATGGCCTAGTAAAAGAATATTGAAAATTTGAAAAAATTTCTTGAGAGACGCAGAGATTTGAAGACAGTTACGGTAAAAGGGCATTGGATAAAAATGGAGAGCTGGAGGGGGGAAAGTGGGTTGGCAAGAGAGAACGAGAGAAATTTGATGATTTGTTCTGATTTGTGTCTCCTGTGTCCAGTTCTGACATCACCTGTTCAAAAGACTAGAAATCGTAGTTCGGTTGTCTGTGAGAGTTGAAAAAGTCTTTTTGGATAAATCAAAAAAATTTGGCTTTGATCAACTGACTTTGTCTTCTTTTTGAGCAGTACTAATTGATATTAAATGTCTAACTTTTTGATGGATTTAAGGTGATTTTTGCTTTAGTCTCTATCTTAATTGTATTTTACTAGGCTTTGACATAGATGTGTTTTTCAACAACCTCTTAAAACGATAAACCTAACTATTCTACTGTATTTACTCGGTTTCTTTTTCGAATTCTCTATATGCTTTACTATTAGTAGAAATTTCATTTTGTATTCGATATAAAAGTGATCATTCAATCGGTTCAGAATCATCTCAGCCTAAGAAACCCTCTTGTTTTCATCAATGCAAGTCAAAGTCCTTCAAGTTTTCTTGATCACTCGCAAAACAATCTCTCCTTTTCGGCACAGATCACAAAAGGTCACCGCACTCGAGTTTGTTTCTATTTGAATCACCACAAAATTTCAATGATGAAATAAGAGGATATAAATATGCGTAGTGATGAAACGCGACTTTATCTCGATCTTTAGTCAATCAGTGACTGGGGAGAAGGGGTCGCCCTTTTTACATCACATGCACTGTGCCCGGCCTTTTTATCCCCTCCCCCTTTTTCGCTCAATTTTCTCTATTTCTATTTGCCCATGTTTTCTGTGCGGCTGGCTCTCTGACCTCCTCAATAGTTCAATCCGTCCATTTCATCTTTTCTTTTTCATTCAAAGAGCTTTGCTTCAAAATTTCCATAAGAAAACCACAGCAACGATCACCACAATGAATTAACCCTATTGTGTGACGCCAAAATGTTCTATCGATTGAGCAACTTCAATTTTTACTTATTTTTTTTCTAAAAGGTACCTATTGTATCGTACTTTTCAAAATCTATATACTGAAGATTTTTATTTTACAAAAAGAAAAAGTTGACGGTGGTTACTTTGCGCCAAATTTTTTGCGCAATTGGGTCATTTGCGCAACTAGGTCTTGTCGCAACTAGTCTGCAACTCGCCATAACTTTTTTCTAATTGGGCCAATCTTTAAATTTTGATGTTATTTTGTAGATCTCAACAAGTGTAGTAAAATGACACCAAAATCATAAAGATTGGTCCACTTAGAAGGAAGTTGTGGCGAGTTGCGCAAATGACCCAGTTGTGCAAAAAAATTGGCTCAAAGTTAGTTAGTTAGTTAGATAGTTAGATACCCCCGAAAAAGGCTAGGTAGTTTACAAATATCTATTTGCGAGTTCAATTTTAACAATAAGATGCGCTCTTTTTCTGGATAATACTATCTTTTGGATACTGCATTCTATCAGTGAGGTTGCTTTTTTGAAGCAAGCCTCATCTACTGGATATGGTGTCTTTTTTGGAAACACTCGATCGAACATTTTGCTATCTTATCTTCCACAGGTTGTCCCCCCCCCCCTCTCAACCAAACAATTTGTAGCCTCGTAGCCCGCGCCAATCATTCACCCAATATGTCGTCGTTTTTGAACGTTTTGCTACATTTTTTTTTCAAGACGTCTCATATCGTTTTTTGCGCCTTTCATTTTAATTGATAATTTTTCAACTCAACCATGTTTGCTCAAGATTCAATTTTCGCGAGAGGAGGGTCATTACAACTAATTCGTGTTGACAGGCCGATCGGCGATCCTATCTTTCTCTCTCGTCTCCCCCCTTTTGTTGCTACGATCTTCCCAAATATCGTTCCATACATGGATCAGGCGTGATCCTCGAAAATATTGGAACTCATTCAATATTTGGAGCTCTCGTTTGTGTGTCTGATATTGTTGCTCTTAGTTGAGTACGACGTATTGCAAGTTTTAAATCCTGTTTCGGATTGTTTTCGCAAGTTGAATTGATGTGTTTGATTTTGTAGAAAAACTCTTGAACCGCAATTAACAGAAAATAGTAAAATTCAATCAAGCAACTGAATATCATTTGTGAATAGTCCATATACTCTGGTTCAGTGCTCCTCATTTTACATTTTTATTTCTTTCGCAAATTATTTTGTGTTGTTGATGTTAAAAGTTTCTTGATTTAGGATGCTCGACTGGTTTTTATCACAATTCGACACGGTCGATGTCGTCGTCCTTGTTGCGCTTGCCATCGGTGGCCTTTACTTCTACTTCAAGATGAACGCAAATAATGTAACATTTACCATTACCTTTTTAAAACGTTTGTACTTTAGAAATCTTCTTTCGCTCCAAAGTCCACTCCAGTCGTTCCAGTGAGACAACAGCGCGAACAAGGATTTATTGCTCGCATGAAAAATGAAGGAAGACAGGCACGTTATATTTTTTCAAATCAATGTCAACTGTACTTGTTAATTTTTGCTGACAAGTCACTTTTTAGGTGTTGATTTTATATGGATCACAGACCGGAACAGCTGAAGAGTTATCAGGACGTCTAGCAAAGGATTTACACAGGTTTTCCGGTTTAAAAATTTGCTTACAGACAAGTTTAGATATACACAAAAAGCTTTGGTGCTGGACCCTGAAGAAATTGACGTTGATGATCTTACTAGGTTACCAGGTTGAGTATTCTTTTTATTAATAAAAAAGTTATAACTTTAGAAGTTGAAAATGTTCTGCTGGTGTTGTGTGTTGCCACGTATGGAGAAGGAGATCCAACGGATAATGCTCAGCAACTCTTCGAATTCATCAAAAATACCGATGCTGATTTCAAAGGAGTCAAATATGCGGTTAGCTGGTTTTTACAACTTTTTTAGAACCTTAAGCTTAAGGTATTCGGACTTGGAAACAAAACCTATGAGCACTTCAATGAAGTTGGAAAGGTAAAATCGTTGTTAGATTTATTCCACTGCTTTAATTTTAGATCTTCGATACTCGACTTGAAGAACTTGGAGCCGAGCGAGTGTACACGCTAGGGCTGGGAGATGATGATGCCAATCTTGAAGAAGATTTTATGAGGTTACAATTTTTAGTAAATAAAATAAAAAGAATCGCTTCCAGATGGCGTGAAGGCTTTTTGCCCCATGTTGCGCAGGAGTTTGCGTGGGAGTTGAATACCGATGCTGAGACACAACGACAATATCGGCTTGAGCTACTTGGCGAGGAGAATCAAGTAACATTGTTCAAGGTCAGTTTCTAAATCCTTTATTAAACACAATGTAATCTAAATACTCAAGCTATAACTAAGACTCTTTAGGGAGAATATGGCCGATTGGGTGCTTTCGAACGACAGCGACCACCCTTCGATTTGAAAAATCCGTTTTTGGCCTCAATCATGACGAATCGTGAATTGCACAGCGAAGAAAGTGATCGATCTTGTCGGCATGTAGAACTTGCGCTTGAAGGTAATAACCTGCCTAATAAAACGAAACCTTCCGGCTTTTCTAGGTTCACGTATTCGATACGAGGCTGGGGATCACGTAGCTTTGTTCCCGACGAATGATCCATCGGCCGTGGCTGCGGTACTTGAGCGTCTTGATACAGATTCAGATCAGGTAGCTTTTTAAATTTTTATGCAATGTGCATGAAACATTTATTAATTGCTTTAGGCGTTCCGATTGATCAACACTGATGAAGAATCAAGCAAGCGAAATCCATTCCCATGTCCAACCACTCTTCGAACAGCATTTACTCACTATGTATTTTTGCCTAAACATATTTCTAAATCAAATAATTTTAGGTTGACATTTGTGCTCCTTTGAAATCACACGTCTTGAAAGCCCTCGCTGAGTTTTGCACTGATGAAAAGGAAAAGGAAAAACTAAAGTTGCTCAGCACACCATCGGAAGAAGGATTGGTGAGTTATAGTTCGTTTCCTATTCTAAAAAAATCTTATCCATTTAGAAAGAATATGCTTCTTACATTGTTAAAGGACGAAGAAGTCTGGTCGATGTACTTCGAGCTTTCCCTTCATGCCGTCCTCCATTTGATTATCTTCTCGAGCTTCTTCCGCGACTCCAAGTTCGTTTCTTCATAATTTTTAAAAGAAAACTTGTTTTTAGGCTAGATATTATTCAATTGCCTCATCGCCAAAGCACTCAGAAAACGCTATTCATGTTACTGCCGTGGTCACGACATACTCAATTGCCGATGAACATGATGAGCGATTTATCAAGGGCGTTTGCACTAATTGGTTGAAAGAAAAGGTTTTTGAAATTTCAAATTTTTTTGTTAAAGTATGAATTTTAGAACACCAGCGAAAAAGTTCCAATCTTTGTGCGAAAATCTCAAATGCGCTTGCCTCACAGAACAACAACTCCGGTAATTCTCATCGGACCCGGAACAGGACTCGCACCATTCAGAGGGTTTATCCAAGAGCGAAAGTGGCACAAGGATCAAGGTAAAGTTTCGCATTTTTGGGGCATCACTATTTTTAATTTAGGAAAAGAAGTTGGCGACATCATGCTTTTCTTCGGCTGCCGCGATCCAACCAAGGATTATATCTACAAAGATGAACTTGAGGGGTACGTAAAAGAATTATGCCACCAAATAATGTTGCTCAATTTCAATTTTCAATTCAATTTAATTTATTTTAGTTATCGCAATGCTGAGGTGATTACGGATTTACATGTTGCCTTTTCAAGGATACAAGGAAAACCTAAAGTAATGAGCTTGTTTTCGACAAGAGTATTATCGTTTTAGGTTTACGTGCAACATTTGATGTGGGAGCAAAAAGAGCGTGTATGGGCTTTGCTTGAACAAGGAGCACATATTTATGTTTGCGGGTAATAGCGTCGATGCGCTTATCTTAATTTATCTTAACTTTCTAGTGATGCTCGTAATATGGCTAAAGATGTACAAAATTGTTTGCTTCGTATCCTTCGCGAGGTTTGTTTTTCTTTCATAGAGATAATAAAATACAAAACGATAATATAAGCTTAGCTCATTTAAGGTTGGCGGGCAATCGGAAGAAGAAGCGATTCGTTTCTTCAAGGATCTTGAACGTCAACGTCGCTATCAAGCCGATGTTTGGAGTTAATTTGCTTGTGACAATTTTTCTTGATGTTTGGCATGTTTGAGATTAAGTTTATACCTAGTTTTTTTTCAAGTTCGTGTTTTCCCCAGTTTGCAGCAAAAATCTATCCTACTTATAAACTAATACCCTGTTAAATCGTAGCTCAGGCTTTTCAGTTAGACAAATTTAGTACATATATATTTCTATAGCTTACCCATAGTTCTCGCTGTCTTTCCGAGCTATTTACCCTATCAACTTTTGGTTGATTGGCTATCCACTTTACTATGTATTAATCGTCCCAGTGAAAGCTAATCTGGTTACACTGATTGTGATTTTTTTCCCGTCCCATCTTCTCTGTGTTTGAAATGTGAGTAGCCTATTTAAATAGAAATTTTGAAATTTTTCTAGGTCCCAATTTTGTGAAATTTTTGGCAATTTTAAACAAGTCCTTAAACATTTTTCTTAATTGGTTGCTTCTTAACATACAAGATTTTAACGACCCTGGTCTCCTTTTCAATAGTTTTTTTGTGATTGATTGCATGATTTAAGCATTTATGTGATTGTTAAAAGAATTTTCTGAGTAAATTTTTATTTACTTATAAATCTTAACGAAAACGACTTGGCAACACGTTTGATATTGCTTTAGTTGCGATCATTCAACTTTTCGATCACTTCTTTGGTGATTTCTTGGATTAATCTAAATTTGCATACATGATTTTAGAGGAGATGAATGTCTTCTGACTTGAAATTTATTTTGCACTCCATCGTCGTCCCCAGCGATCCTTGAAAAGCTTCAGAAGCACGGAAAATCGGTTTCCATTTTTCTTCTAGAAGCTTCGGAGTTGTTTTGGGCTTTCCACATCGTTGTCCCGTTTGAGGGATTATAGTACGCATTGGAAATCTAGTTTGTTTTGGCTTTGGTTCGCTGTAGGCCTGTCGTGGCTTCTAAATATTTGGGTCCCATTGCTACCACCTTTTGACTTACCAGTAATGTTCGCATCTTTTGCAGTTCTTTCGATGGAATCCATGAGCCACCACCTTCTCTGTATTTGTTTTCTTTCTCACACTCCCATGGTGGACGATATTTTTTTATCGAAGCTGAAACAACTAATTTTGAGTCGCAATGCTTCTTTACCTCGAGTCAATGGACTTGTATGAGCTGATTTGGACCGTTTCTTATCCTGTTCAGACAGCTTCAACTCCAGAAAATTCTAAAATAGTTTGGATTTAGGATTTGTTTTCAATTTTACCATTTCCAGTTCTCCGACAATAGTGCAATTGAAAAGATCGATCGCTTCTCGGAAATCTAGAATTACTTGCTGAAACGCCAGTCATCATCTTAAACCTTGCAAAGCCTCGATTCGATTGGAGCAATCGTTAAGATTTTTAGTTAACCACTTTTCTAATTGATACATCAGATCACATATTGTGCCAGCAAATTGGGTCAAGTTTGCAAGTTGTGGTGGTCTGAATTCTTTAATTTCCCATTAAATTCAATTTTGTCAATTACGTGGAAAGCCGTCGATTAAAACTTTTGAGCAGTTGTAATAGTCGACGAGTCACTAGACAAAACTTTTCGACATCAAGTTGTGATGATGTAATCAGTCTTTCAACCTAAAGCATTGCTTTTTTGTATGACATTTTATTACTGACTTACTTGAAACTTTATAGGATAAGCGTCGGATGCATCACGATTTACCACAGGCAAACAGTGACCGAACGCCAAATCGGCTTAATTCGGCGTATTGATTTTGAAAGTTGACTGATAACCTACCACTTTTCCGAAATGTTTCTATCGAAACTTGTAAAGCTGACGTGAGATCATTCAAAGCAAGGACCAGTTTATCACTGAATGACTGCTATTATTAACGGTATTTGTTTAAGTATTGTGAAACCTTGTATTTTGTTCTGCTTCATTTCCGAATTGATCGATATTCTCTTCGTCTATCAACCGTTTAGCCTTTTCAACCCGTTTTATCCAAATGTCCTGAATTATGTAAATATTTTACAGTTACAAAAAATACCTGAAAACCTCGATTCTTGAGCAGTTTCTTCAATATTTCGTCCGTTTCATCGGAAAAAGCAGCTTCCATAATAATTTCGTAGGAGAGTTGCTTTCTGAAAAAAAATCAATCGTTTTGTCGGAAAGGGAAACCCAATAAGCGCATAATTGGTGATTGAGTAACGACATGAACGAAATGCAAATTACATGGCTTTATGCGTCTCTTTTATTTCTTTCTCTTTCCGATTTTCCACATTCTCTTCTTTTTCTCTCTTGATAGCTTTAGAGCTTTTGAATAAGTAAAGAGAATGTGAATTTCAGAGGTTCGAAAAATTACGCTCAAACGTCTCATGTTTCCCATTCGGGTATTTGTTTATGGAACTTTGAAGCGCGGTGAACCGAATGAACACCATTTAACACTGTCATCGGGCATTCAACAATTTATAGGTGAGTAAAAAGGAAGTTATTTTCAAAAAAAAATTACAGGCAGTGGCAAAACAAGCAACAAATTTCCACTAATTATTGCATCAAAATTCAATATTCCGATGGTTTTACGAGAACGCGGATTTGGAAACGTTTGATGAAAGAACAGATTTTGGAATTGAGTATTCAGCAAATTCGTGGTGAAGTCTATGAAATCAACGAAGAGAAGCTGCAATGTTTAGATCAATTAGAGGCTTATCCGGAGCTTTACACACGGGAAATTGAACAGGTTTTTAAAAAGTAAAAAAGAAAAAAATGTTCCCGTTTAGATTGAACTCGACTCTGGAGATGTGACCAATGCTTGGATGTATATGGTTCATGAATGGCGACCTGATATCTATCAGGTTTAAAAGAAATAAATAATCCAAAACAATAGAATTTAGCAAAGCTCGGAATTGTTAAAAGATTATTCAAGCAAAGGCTCGCATGGTCGCGAATATGTTGACAGGTAAAGTCCATGTTAAATTCAAATCGTTTATCAAAAAAATCGACCTTTCAGAGAAAGGCGTGCATTGGAAACTCTCGAATCAGATTGGAATTACTTTGCATGGATTAAGGGAAAAGATCTTAATGATCAAATGCTTAAAGAAAAAGTGCGCGAAAAGACGATCTATGATCTAGAAACAGCAAAATAATAGAAAAAGGTGCGAGTGCCATCGAAAATCGTTCATTTCATTTTAGCGAAGACGTTTCTCATCCGGATCAACTGTACGATCATTAATTTATTCTAACAACAATAACGTATTAACGTATCGAATAAACATTTCAAAAATCTACCCCAAAACGTGCCTGAACGTGTATTGGTGACGTCATAAAAGAGACGAAAGGGGTCAATGAAGAAGGCCTAATAGAAGAGTAATGCAATTTACGGTGAGGGTATCTTTAAAAAAAAGTACATAACTTTTGTAAATTTTTCTTTTTTATTGAATAGTCTTGATTGATGTAAAATGATCAAAAACACAACAATATTTTTTTTTTTTTCAAAATTTTAACTTCCAAATTGATTAGTTTTGATAATTTCAATTTTGGTAAAATGAAAATTGCAATTTCCACTTCAAAAGCTTAGCACTTCGAGGATTTTGAAAGTTTCAAATGTATTAATTTGTTTTAAAGTAACGGGTTTTCAAACGAAAGAGAAAAAAGAGAGGGGCGGGCCTACGTTTGGCCTACGTTTCCTAGGCTCAACAAAAGGGGAGAAAAGCCAAACTCGTCAAAACGTGTAGTTGATGCTATATATAAGTGCAGAAATTAGGTAGATTTCTAAATTCCTTTCTAAATCCATTCTTGGCCCCCAGATTTCTCTTATTCACATTACCCAACTCATCCTCAAATTCAAATCCTAACAACCTAAAGAAAGTTTTGCTTTAAACGAATTTTATTGCGTTTAACGTTTTTGAGTTGTTCAACTGAATATCTTTTAACTTTATTGGCCTTATAAATGTTTGAGCTAACCTCCTTTTTCGCATTTATATTCATCATTTCCCTAGTTTTTAATTTTTGGTCATTGGATTCAAAACCTCGCACTTTTACCGGGTAAACAACTTTCTCAACTTCTAGATTTTCTCTTTTATATTCCGAAGCGTCTCCTGAAATTTTGAGCATTAAATAAGGAAATTACGCGTGATTGGATGGCGCCTGTTCGTACCATGCGAGGGAGGGTTTTTGTTTTGAGCTACTCCCCCAGAGGGAAAAGGCGGGAAAATCAGTCTAGGGTCATCCCCCACCCTTTCTCAAATCAAGTACACCCCTTTATTATTGCATTCATTCACTTTATTTTCCGTTCATCTCGTTTCGTTTTGTCTAATTTTTAATTTTACAGACAACTTTCTCGTAATGCCAGCTCTGGAAGTTCAAGTAGACAAGGAAAACGAGGCGCCCATGGCAATGAAGGTTTTATTTTAACGGAATTTTGTTATGTATTTGTTGCTTTAGAAAGAGGATGTTCTGCGTGATCGACTTTCGCCAAACGCCTTCGCTAGCTTAAATATTCAGGTATGTTTTTCTTTGATCTAATCTGTTGAAGTGGTTACTTATCATATGAATGATGATGTAATGTTGTTTAGTCATGATGTAATTTTATTTAGTCAGAAGAACTGGGCGACAGGGTTGATGATGAGCCATTGCTGAGGGAGAACCCAAATCGATTCGTCGTTTTTCCATTGAGGTATCACGACATTTGGGGCTTCTACAAGAAGGCCGTTGCCTCGTTCTGGACCGTCGAAGAAGTGGACCTTGGAAAGGATATGGCCGATTGGGAGAAAATGAACGAAAACGAGCGCTTCTTCGTCTCGCGGGTTTTGGCGTTCTTTGCGGCTTCCGATGGAATTGTCAATGAGAACCTCGTAAGTTTTTTTTGAACTATCTGATTAGCACTTACGTTTAACCTCAGGTTGAACGCTTTTCTCAAGAGGTTCAAGTACCCGAAGCTCGCTTCTTTTACGGATTTCAAATCGCCATCGAGAACATTCACTCTGAAATGTACTCGAAAATGATTGAGACTTACATTCGGGATGAGGAAGAGCGGTTGGTTTTATAAAATTGTATTATTTAGTTGAAACGTATGTAAGTTGCAAAATCTTAATTGCTTATTTTAGGGCACAATTGTTTAACGCCATTTTCGAATTTCCATTCATCAAGAAGAAGGCAGATTGGGCTCTTCGTTGGATCGGTGATCAGAAAGCGACATTTGCCGAGCGAGTCATCGCTTTTGCTGCAGTTGAAGGTAGTTTTTGTGTTTACAGATTTGTTGATAAGGCAAATCTTTAGGCATTTTCTTTTCCGGGTCATTTGCCGCCATTTTCTGGCTGAAAAAGCGAGGATTAATGCCTGGATTGACACATTCAAACGAGTTGATTTCACGCGACGAGGGACTTCATCGGTAGTTTATGTTATTAAATAAATAACATGCGTCTTTTAGCGACTTCGCATGCCTGATGTATCGTCACATTGTTCATAAGTTGGATGAGAAGAAAGTTCAAGGAATCATTGCAGATGCAGTCAGAATCGAGCAGGTGGACATCTTTCTGGCTTTATTTTCTTATCAAAATGTTGTAGGAATTCCTCACTGAGGCTTTGCCGGTCGATATGATTGGAATGAACATCAAGTTGATGTCTCAATACATTGAATTTGTGGCTGACCACCTTTTGGTGGAGCTCAACTATTCGAAGGTTTGTTTATTAGCATAAAGATTTTATAAATTAAAGCTGACGTATTTTGTATTAGCATCACAATCAAGTGAACTTGTAGCTATTTTATACCAAAATAAAGCGTTTTAATTTTATCAAATACTGTTATTGGTAGCGTATCCGAGAGTTGAGCATTTGAGCGCGCATCTAGCAAAGGGTTTCAAATGTCCAAAAAAGTTGCTTAATAAAATTTTTACATTTAGGTGTACAACGTCAAGAACCCATTTTCCTTCATGGAAAACATTTCGATCGAGGGCAAAACAAATTTCTTCGAGAAAAAAGTTTCCGAGTACCAAAAGCCCGGAGTTATGACCAATGAGGAAGGGCGGCAGTTCGACTTCGACGCAGATTTCTAACTTTAATAATTTTACTGATCTCTACGGTTCTTTCATATTTTAATCTCACTGTCTTTTAATTACCCATTTTGTCTCTACGATTTTGTTTGGGCGTATTGTCGAAGGCTTTATTTCTAGGCCTTTCATAAGTTGTTTACTGTTCCCTCATCATTAATTGCTAAACGGGCATTTTATCACCTTAAATGTTTTATATCTTAATGTTTATTGTGTCAGGATGGAATTTTATAAAACTTTGAACCAAACAACATAAGTGAGCAAATTAGAAGGAATGATAGCGTCAAAAACTTGAAGAAGCCATTGGAACCACAAGAATGTTACTGGCTTAACGATTATGATAACTGGGTATTGGATGAATAATTCATGGGAAATATAATGTACATTCACCGTTGTGCTCTACCCGAATTGAAAAGGATTATCGAAAAAATACATACGAATAAGGATAGCTGTCAAGAATGGCTATTATTTTATTCTATTTTAATTCGAGAAGTTCAAAAGATTAATAAGTAGGATTTGGTGGATATTGCTGTGGATAGCCTTGATTCGGATGGTAGCCGGGCTGTTGAGAATAGCCCTGCTGAGGATATCCCTGGTTACCGTATGATTGCATTGGATAGCCTGAAATTTGTGGATTCAAAGTTAATCAAGCAACTTTAAGTAAGCTTATTGCTAGAGCTTGTATTTCTTTATTACTTGAAAGGATCATTATTTCTCACCTTGAGGAGCGTCATCATATTTGGCGCCTTGATACGATGAAGGATGATCGTTTGAATGAGGATGATCGTTTGAACGACCGAAAACATGTGGGCACGCGAAAAAAGCGATACAACAACAGCAGCAAATCCCCAAAACTATCGCCAAGACGATTCTAAAAATTTTTTTTTGGATTCGAATCTTCAGAAAAAGCACACACTTCTAAACAAAAACTTTAATCGGTTACAGAAAACAAAAAATTGAAACGATTTAGTTGATGGGTTTGATTTATATAGCCTGTGAACACATGCTTAGAAATAAAATTCTTTTAATCAAAGGGAAACGACAGGATTTTTGTGCAAAACAAACAAAGGACAGTACCATTTTTTTTTTTTTTTAAATCACAAAAGAACAATGGAGCGAACAATGGAGAATCCGAGTTTTGTGATCGACTCAATACCAGAGGACAAGAAGGCTAAATGTGAGCGAATATTTTCCTTTGAAGCGAATATTTTCCTATTTCCTCCACCAACACCGATCTTTAAGAATAGCTTGCTTATCGATGAAATCAGTGTCAAATAGAAATAACTGACTTCAACTGACTTCCGAAAATCGCCTCTTACTCATTTAAACGAATTTCATCGATAAGCAGCAAGTCTAGTGAACATTTATGTGATTTTTGATAGCTTTTATGATTGAATGCCACCACCACCGCATTGACAAACAGTTAAATAAAGTAATTTTCAAAAAAAAAATCCCATCTTTTGTTTGCAAAATCCCAGAAATTTTTTGGAAATTCTTTGAAAATTCATCTTTCATTTACCCTAAAATTATTCCCATTGTGGTGCTGACACCGGATTTCGTCTGAGAGTTTGTTTGAGGAGCAGGGCAACAGTCCATCCCACAACACACCTGAATTACATTTCGAGATTTAAGCTATAAATAAAAACGATAGAAAAAGCTTAGATAATTGCTTCTATTGGCAGCGTTACTACTACTTTAATGGCAGCTTTACTACTACTACTACTACTACTATTTACTTTAATGGACTCACCTCAGCCCCAGTGCGACAACTCCAAGAGACCGTCTTTGGGCGATTGCCATCTTGGAATTGAATCTAAAAATTGGATACAAATGCAGCTAAAGTTTTTGAAAAACGTTATTGAATTTGTTGCTAGCGTCGGCTGGGGCGAGAGTCGTTGTAGTGCCGTTTGAATCGGTTGCTATTGGAGCGATAGGTGCGATAGGTGCTGGAGTTGAATCAGCTGCGGTTTTGGCCAGCTGAAATTTTCTCTTTTTTTTTCTTTATCACATTCTCGACTTACCGTATCGAAGGGAACACTGCAGGTGAATTGATTTCCATTATTGCGAACGTACTAAATTCAATCATTAAAACCTGATGGTGATGTCATACCTGATCTCCCCAATAGTAGTTGCGATTATTGTAATGGAAAGGATCGGAAGCGGAGCGGATGATCGCCTTGGTACCCTCGTAGAGGAGAATGCCTGAGAATTGTTGAGTTTGTTTAAGATTTCATAACCCAAACCTCCAGCAGCACCCACAGCAGCGCCAAGAAGCGCATTTCGGAAGCCGGACGCTCGTGAAGATGAACCAAGTCCACTGCCAGTTCCAGAGAAACTTAATATTTGTAATTGTTGAAATCAACATTTATTCTTTACCCTCTATTCTGCACTCCACCAGCGTTCCAACCGGTGTTTGTGTTTCGGAAATTGTTGTTGTTAACACCGCCGGCTGGCCTCATTCCTCCACTATTGAAAGCTAAAATTTCGAGTTTATTAAAGGAATCTAAAAGGATAGCCCGATTCATTGCATTACCTCCATTACCATTTCGATTGTTGAAGCCGCCTTGAGGTCCCTGAAATGAGTTGCCTCCCGATTGGAAGCTGCCGGGACCTAAGAGAAGAGAAATTTGTAGCTGTAGCTGTAGAAAATGTAAATGAATACAAAGCGCAAAGGTTAGTTGGAGGGGATTTTTTGGAGAAATTGGTCAACAACACGACATCCATCACAATGCGTCAACCCACGATTCGAATTGATTGCCGACGATTTCGAGTACACGTTTCCCTGCTGACTGGCTGGGGGATTTACTGCGGCAGTCTTGCTTGAGCTTGACGCTGAACCCCGTAAAGAGGCTGCTCCCGCAGAGCCACCTAATTTCACAACGTACTTTTTCTTTAGAGATCTCAATTGTTAGGGGAAAAGTAGGTACTTAAAAATCCTCTTTTCTAGAATAGTACCTTGTTGTCGAGCTCCACTTGAACCTCGATTGAAACCTCCGCCACCACCGGAGAAACCACCTGAATTTCGTTTTTTATTTAACTATAAGTCATTTGCTTTTTAAATATTTAAAATATATCGATATTTAGGTTTCAATTATTCAGATTAACTTTAATTTATCGTTTTTTTGGGGTAGGCTACTTTGCGCCAATTTTTTTGCGCAACAGGGTTATTTGCGCAACAGGGTCATTTGCGCAACTCGCCATAACGTCCTTCTAAGTGGGCCAATCTTTATGATTTTGGTGTCATTTTGTAGATCTTAATAAGTGCAACAAAATGAGACCAAAATCATAAAGATTGGTCCACTTAGAAGGACGTTATGGCGAGTTGCGCAAAAAAATTGGCGCAAAGTAGCCACTCCCAGAAACACACTTTAGGAAACAATATTTGTTGGGAGTATAAAACTCTCCTAAACTTCCCAATGTTGTTTCCTAAAGTGTGTTTCTGGGAGTGGCTACTTTGCGCCAATTTTTTTGCGCAACTCGCCATAACGTCCTTCTAAGTGGACCAATCTTTATGATTTTGGTTTCATTTTGTTGCACTTATTGAGATCTACAAAATGACACCAAAACCATAAAGATTGGTCTACTTAGAAGGACGTTATGACGAGTTGCGCAAAAGACCAAGTTGCGCAAAAAAAATTGCGGAAATTAGCCTACCCCGTTTTTTTCACTTACCTGAACCGCCTCGTTTACAGAGAATCGGCAACGGGGAGGCGCTGAGAAATATTAAGAATATTGTTGCTCTGTTCATCTAAAATAAAATAAATTTATAAATTTGAACAAAAATAAGTTAAAAATAAAGTAAACAGGCGTGAAGAGTAGGCATTTCTATCGAAAACGAGGTCTATTTGCTGAAGATCTTTGTGTCCATCAAGGGAACTTCAAAAATGAAAAAAGAATTTACAAGCGAAAGCACCAGAGAGACGTTTTTTTTAGATTAATCTTCTGAAATCTTCTGAAAGATTCACAATTGTGAAATGTGATCTACCGTATTTCTTCGAATAGAGGACCGGGTAAAGAGTATCATCGCGGTAAAGAGTATCATTATCTTTGATTCCTTATCTCTCTAAACTTGGTTCCTTATCTCTCTAGATTTGGTTCCTTATCTCTCTAAACTTGGTTCCTTATCTCTCTAAATTTGGTTCCTTATTCCTTGGTAAGGGCTGGAAAATGACTCAAAAATCTGCTAGCTCATGTGGTATTTTTGAGTCATTTTCCAGCCCTATAGCACTTGATTGAAAGCTTTTATGCAGAAAAGAAATTTTAAGAAGGGCTGCTACGCAGGAGTACGCGATGATACTCTTTACCCGGTCCTCTATTCGAAGAAATACGGTATTTCAGAACGACGAGTTCAAAATAACAATGTATTCAAAGAAAAGCAAAAAAAATATTTTCAATTAGAAAAGAATTTATTTATAATATTAATATCTTTTTTTTCTTTCTTAAAAATTCACTATAAGAAATTGATTTTTATTTTTGATTCAAGTTGTTTACCAAGGCTCAAGGCCATTTCGAATGGGGAAGAGTAAAAGAATGGAAATGGTCGGCTTCTAAAACCAGTTTTTCTTTTGAATTATTCCAGAAAGCAAATGGATATGAAAGGATATTTTAATAATAAAATCTTGAAAAAAAATATGCTGAAGTTTAGTCAGAAAATGATCGTCAAAAAAGAGCTGCTCAACGAAGCATTAATGAGAATCGACGGATCAAAGCTCAGAAAATATAGGAGAAAAAAGGAAAAGCGGGTTGATGAAGATTGAAAAGAAAAAGGATATAAAGAGCAATGATCGAGCGGATATCAGAGAAGGGTTTGATGAAGAGGAGAAGAAAGAGAGAGGGAAGGGAGAAGAAAGGGAGAAGGAAGGGAGAAGAAAGAGAGGAGAAAGAGAGAAGGAAGGGAGAAGGAAGGGAGAAGAAAGAAGAGAGAATGAATGTTTGCTTACCTCCCCATTCCATTCCCCGTATTCACCGCCACGCGCTTCTCTTAGCCGCTTTTTGATGATAATAATTGCGAAATGTAAATGAATAAATGAAAACAGTCAATCTAACAAAGATTTTTAAAAAAGTACAAGTGTAAGCTGATTTAAACCCTATTTTGGACTTTTACTGAAAGAAAACAATTTGAAAGCGAAAAACAAGCGATTTTAATAAAATTTGAGAGCTATTAGAGCTTTAAAAACTTATAAAATTAGTAAAGATATAAAAGAAAAACATCTTTAAAGTTCTTATTTGAATTTAAAGTAAAACAAAAGTTCTTATTGAATCTTGTCGAACTACTTGGACTTGTTTTAGAGTTAGAGGTGTAGAAGTAAGTTATCAGCTTCATAGAGCTTTAGTAAGTAACTTATCAGCTTCAAAGAGCTTTAGAAGTAAGTTATCAGCTTCAAATTCTTGTCCCAGAAAATAGATTCTTGAGAATTTGAAAAATAGATAGAATTGAGGAAGGAATTTGGTTTCAATTAGTAGATGAGACATGGGAGTGACGAGGATCTTAATATCGAAATGAACACACTCGGGCATCAACCCCAATCTTCTCTTTTTCTCGATGCTTGAAGGGGATCCGGGTAAGCGTCAAGAGACTTTTGAGAGGGAGCTGCCCATTCCTCTTCACAAAGAGCCGCCATCAAGCATGCACACCGGTCTCCTCTCCTAATTTGCCCATTCCCTTAAGCTGAAACGCTCAAAATATCGAATTTGCACCCTTTTTTCCTTTCCATTTCTCAATCCTTCATTAGCTCAATGTTTTTCTCTTGGAATTATTTAAGAGCTCTTCAAAATTCCTTTCTGAGAATCAAAAACTGACGTCTATCCTAGAGAAAATGCTCAGCAATGATAACTAAATGATTTAGAAATCGGGTAACCTGTGGTCGAATGACGTCATCTTTCCCGACGTCAACTCTCAACCGGTTTTGTATCTTTGAGTAAACGTGTGGTGAAACTTGAGAGAACAAGAGGAAAACAACTTTTCTTTTCAAAAAACCACAACAAAAAAAACAACTTTTCTTCTCTCTACTATATAAAATTTGATCTTAATTTTTGAAAGAGGGAATGGGATAAAAGTGTTTTGAAAGCTTTGGGAATTGATTAAATGATTAAACATTGATTAAACAAATGATTAGCCGAATTCATTGGATTTGCTCAACAAAAAGACAGAGATTTGCGGTTGATTGGATTCGAAAACATTGGATCAGAACGGGAAAAGTCGAGATAGATATTGAGTCTGGAAAACGGGGAAAACAATCGAGGATTTCGGGAAGGGTTGAGGGGTGGAGTCGAAAGATCGGAGAGGGGAAAACTGGCTCTACCACACTCCTCTTCTCCTCTCTTCTTTAACTCTCTCCCACAATTCATATCGATTTTATTCAGGCACAGATATTATTATGAAAGGCACAAAAAATGTGAGAAAAACATAGATTGGGGGATATGTGTTAGAGAATCGAGAAAAATGGCTTTATTTTATGGCCCATCTAACAACAAGAAAGGAATTAGATGGAAAAGCAAACAAGAAATAAATTAAATGCAAGACTTGAAAATTCTTTTAATAAAAGTTTAGGTTGATAGGTTTTTAATAAAAGTATAGGTTGATAGGATTAAGTATAGATTGATTGATAGAGTTAAATCTTGGAAAAATATTCAAAAATGCGTAAACGGTAATGAGAACACTTAAACAATGCAAAAGGGTTATCCCTTTTACGGTGGTTTATTTCGGTTTATTTATGGGTGGTTTATTTCGAAAGTGGTCCAAATCGAAGCACTATTATATGTTTGGAACGGGATTGGAAAGAGAAAGAAAGAAAGAAAGAAAGAGAGAAAGAAAGAAAGAGCTGTTGTTATGGTGACATTCAGTCCCAACATTCCCATAACCCCTCTTCTCTTCTCTTCTCTTCTCTTCTTTTCTCTTCTTTTTCACATTTATTTGTATGCCGACTGTTTGACTGTTTAAGAATTTGTTTTTACGAAAAAGAAACTTTTGAATTTCTGAGAGAAAAGAGAAAAGGTGAAATCTCGCTCAATCAACCAAAAGAGTTAGCGAAATTGAAAAGATTGGATTGAGAAAAGTGCTCAAAACCTTGATCATCGATTTTCTTGAGTTTTTTTCGGGTAAAATATCTACTATCTATACCGTATTTTCTCTAATAGTAGTGCACCCCGGCGATCCGAGTTGGTGACTATTTTTACACTTTCTAAGTTTTCGCAGAAGCTCAACAATCAAATTCCCCACTAGATCTCATCGTCAGCTAGATTTTTCGATCCCACATCGATAGGTTCTGATAAGCGGTTCTCGAGGTTTCCGGGGATTTAGACAAAGGTTTTGGTGCACTAGTACTAGAGAAAATACGGTAATTGAGGGCTGTCTGTTCGTCCGTCCGTGAGCACACAAATTTTTTTGAGGGGTAAAGGAACAGGTGTGGCTGAGGGAATAGCGGTCTCCAGATCTGAGGGCCGTGAGTTCGGATCCAGACCACGGAATAATCTTTTGCTTTTTTTTGTTATTCAATGAAAGAAGTTCTCTTTGCTATGAATTATATAATTGTGAAATGTTCGTCTGTCAGAAAAAAAATCAGGGAATGATTTTCTTGGGCTGGAAATTGATACCCAGTCACCATCGACTATGCTGAAGTCGACTCGACTAGCTGATGCTGAATCTAAAGTCCTTTGAGGGCTGTGTGCAAGTAAATGGGTTTGGCCAAACGGAGTGTGGCGTAGTCGCTACTCAGAGCTCGGCTCCCAGTTGACCAATTTCGAAGTGTGCTTTATTTTTGGATAAAACAATTTATATATGAATAATTTCTCCATGTGGCCGCGTAGCTGTTCATAGAAATAAACACAAAAAAAAACGGGAAAAGTGATGAAAATAAGTGCACAAAATCTTGCAAACAATCGAATTTTCGTCTTTGGTTTGTGACTCGTCAGCTCTGCATTGAGCTCTGCATTGAGCTCTGCATTGAGCTCTGCATTGAGCTCTGCATTGAGCTCTGCATTGAGCTCTGCATTGAGCTCTGCATTGAGCTTTGCATTGAGCTCTGCATTGAGCTCTGCATTGATTTTTATCTCTTTATACAAATTCTTTTGACAATATTGATGATGAAACGTTTCTCTTTTGCATTTTAAAAATTTTTCCTTGTAATTCGATTTAAACTCACATCCAAATCACCATTTATAAACCCAAAATGAAAAAAAAAAAGAAAATAGATAAAAGCAATGAGAATAGAAGAAATGATACTGATATTGCGTAATGTGAAAAATAAAAAAGGTGACAAGAAGAACGAGAAGGCACCTTTTTTTGATTTCTTTTCTAAAAATAAACCATAACAAGGCACCATTTAAGGCAAAAGATTAAAAGAAAATGACTAAATAATGGCACCAATGGGAAAAGTGAAATTTTGGTGATAAATCTAATGAAAATTCGATGCCTAATCAAGCTTACAAGTGGTAAATTGTAAACCGTATTCTCTCTAATAGTAGTGCACCCCGGTGAGTCGATTTGATGACGATTTTCCGGTCCGGTTGACGATCCAAGCTTTTGCAGAAGCTCAACACTCAAATCCCCCACTAGATCTCATCGTCAGCTACATTTTCCGACCCCACATCGATAGGTTCTGATAAGCGGTTCTCGAGGTTTCGGGGAATTTAGACAAAGCTTTTGGTGCACTAGTATTAGAGAGAATACGGTACATAAATACCATTAACTTACTTGTGTTTTTTCGTCGTCGATTTGTTTCTTTTTCATAGAATATGGTAACATTTGTC